AAGTTAATTCACTCGTGGCCTTTCACTCAATGGTTAAACTGTCCCTTTATCGTCTTGTATAATAAATAACTATTAACTGCTTTTAAAAGCATTGTTCAACGCAGGTATATGGACTATCTAAATGATGATTATGGAGTATCTGCTGTGGTAATATAGAGAGCCTTCGTTGCTTTTAAAAGATCCGGGGCAAAGATTGGTGTCACTCAGGCTTCCATATACAGTAGATGTTTGTCTGATGCAGGTGAGATTCTCACATTTCTCCTGAAAACACAGTGATCTACTGGAAAGTAGCTGCCTGGATGGTTACCGAGGGATATTTGAGACGGGAGGTGGGCACGTTCAGCCTATGCAGAGGGCAGGACCGAACGGGATATTTCCAGCTCTTCTGGTAAGAGGGCCTGGGACCACTTCCTTGCATCATGTTGCACCTCTATAGAGCTTATCTGACTGTAGGGTGCATCCCTGAAAGCTTGAGAAGGGTAAAAATTGTGTACGTAGTTAACTCTGTTCGTACAAAATAAACGGTTTTTTTGCATTCTTCGTCAAAAAATAAAAGAATACCTTTAAATTAAAATTGTCATGATTCGATGATTTCAATGTATGTACCTATACTGCATCCAGAACGATCATAGCCGAGTCAAAACAAACGCTATAGATACATAATTAGATTATTAAAACCACACGATCGCCACGGATCTACCAGAAAATGACAAAAACACTTGGTGCTGCCAAATCGCTAATGCAATTCGACCTTGGTTATTTCAATGGACAAAACATCATGACCACGTGTGTATATCTTTCAAGTGCGGGTGATAATGTACCTTTATGGATGGCATATAAAGTCGACAAAAACAATCTGCTATTAAAAAATGAGGGGCTTGTTCGGTTCGATTATAAGGAGCAAGGAGAAATGTTAATATTTCCAACCCTCCTTATGCGAAGTTTCTATAAGTAGATACAGGATACAGTGATGGACTCAAGACCGTTACTACCTTTTGCTTGCCTACATTGCGAATGTCTAATGCGATCGGATATTTATTAATGCAACAACTTGCTTCTGTAAAGAACAATAAATTTCAAAAAAAGCGCGTTTTCGCATTTCTAAAACTACTTTCAATAAATACTTTCCGATAAGTATCTTGACACTTGAGGTTATTTTTAAACTTTTTTATTCAAAAGGTAAACTCTTATCAATGGATACGTGTCCTGTAGCTTCCTATTGATAAGGTTCCCTCTTCAATTTCAATACAAAAGTGTAGGATATGTGTAAGTTCCAAGCAGTAGAGTATTCCCAATACTAACATTTAAAAATGAAGTTCTTGCTGTTGGCTCTTGTGATAGTACTGGTGGCTTGTCAAGCAGCGTACTTTTCTAATAATTATGATCGCTGCCCAATGCATTATCCAACCGCCATGTGACGGTATACCAACGTAAGTAGTATTTTTAATTTAAAAAAAATACTTTACAAAGTAGATCAGGCCTTACTGTTACCTAGGTACATAAACGCTTGCTTCATTTCACGTACAATTCCACTTGTACTATCCCTATGTTTAAAAGTATTGTTTCCTTCTAGGGTTGATTGTAACGATGGTGGGATACAAGGAGTCAGGTGCTGTTCATTTTCTGAAGAATTATAGTGATGGAAATTTACGAGGATCGAACAGAAATTAGTGGGCACTACTTATTAATAAAATGTGATGTTCAAAACTAAAAAAAATGTAATCCATTCGAATAAAGCATGGGCGTTCTGATAGTTAAACTGAAATCGAAAAAGGCATCGTGTTCTTTTCTTGTCCCTCTAAGGATACTTTTCAAATTTCACATTTAACCAAATAAAATATTTATAGTAAGTAAGTTGTAAGTTTAAAACACATGATATGAATGAAGGTGTAAGAAGCGGAAGCATACAGGCAGTACGAAATCACATTCTGAATAATTTCCTACTATTTCTGCAAAATCTTTAAGATATATGATTCTGAGTACAAGACAGGAAGCGTTGTAAGTGTTCATTGTTGCTCATACGTAGGTCGTATGTAGCTTTGTTTATTCATTTTAAACAAAGGTAGTGGGTACCTCAAATTCAGAAACCACACTGAGTCCATGTACAACCTACGTACTACACCATCGTATCCTACACTGGTACTACCATTGAATAACAACCACAGGAGGTTTTTATTTAATGGTACTACTGAAAACCTAATTTATCTAATCTTTGTGTTGGCATTGTTGTAAGTACGCCTGCGGGTAGTAATATCCTAGACCTAATTGACTTATTTACCTATTTACTTATAACACTGATAAAGCTTATGTAGATACTATATTTTTTTACTTTTCGACTACACACGAAGTATGTATAAAGGAGAAAGTATTGTAATCGTGATAAATTTTCGGTATGTTAATATTGCGTTTTCTGGACGTTTTGAAGCAGACAGACCCCAAAATAGTTATTTGTTTCAAAAGTACGAAAAATGCACGTGTTCGGGACGAGAAAGGGTGGTGGTCCAACCAACATTCCGAGGCACGAAACCGCATTTTTCGTACGAATGAAATAAAATTTTTTCTCCAACCACTTTTTTACTTACCAAGTGTGTTTGCGCAACGCTCTTGTAGTTGTCGTTTGTCGACCACTGTTTCATCTTTTGGGTGCAACTCTAGTAATATGTTTTTAGGTTAAGTTAGCCTCCTTTTGAAAGTAAACATGAAGTAAATATCTTAGAACAATTCAATATGAACACGAAACATCTTATTTTTACTTAATCAAATACGACAAGACCTTGCTGAAGCTACATTCGCTTTTTTTTTCAAGGAAATTCGCTTTGGGGATAGTACCAACTTACATCGGAAAACAAAAAATCCCTAACACTGGGTTAAAGTTACATTCGCTTTTTTTTTTAATTAGCCTACCAAAGTGGTGGTACAGTGACCTATACCTATTAGCCCTTGTCAGTGGCTATTCGAAAGGGCACATATTCGAGATAACAAATCAATAGGCCCCTTCGCCAAAAGTACCTCGAATTTTTATTTATTGGACTTTGAATGTGATCGTGCACATCAAATTTGAAAATTCCCCCCACTTTGAAAGCGTATAATTCAAAAATGGCGAGTTTTCTCAGCATATGTCCTTATGTAGGCGAAAGAGCACATATTCAAGATAACAAACATCATTTTACAAGTAACTCATATTTTTTAAATCAGTCCTCCTAGTTAAAAAAACATAAACACAGTATAGGTCATTTAGCTGAAAAGTTACTGCAAAAAAAATGATTATTTATCAACTTGCAGTAAATTCGCTTTTCACTTTTAATTCGCATGTGACTTCCCTGCGCATCTATTACACTGATTCATACATGGCAAGACAAGCTATGTGTAATTTCGCTGATGCTCTTTAATTAGTAGATCCGTTCGATAAGAGAAACAAGAGGTCGTATTTAATTATTCCCTTTGTAAACTGTTCCCATTTAGAATAATTAAATCACTTTTGTAGCGTTCGAAACCTTTTGTCATGTAGAAGACAAGAGCGAAGTAATATTTTAGGATTTCTCCGTTAAGTAATTGTTAATGGATTTTAGTTTCTAATAGTGCATGAAAACGAGCATTAAAACTGCAGTTCAAGAGATAATGAGGGGTTAATTAGGAGTATGAATTTAGAAATTTCATCTCCCCCATTTAACCGTTGCTAATTAAATGAGTTGCAGTAGATAGCATCCGATTAAATCGTGAGGGGTCTCAAAAAGAGCGCTTTTAATTAATTGGAATTTTAAGACCAATTTAAAGTTTCTCGTAAAGACCGACTATGCCACGTTGCGATGGTTATTGTAAGTCCAGAAGGCCAAGTTGCCAGACGATTGGAAAGACTGCAAGAGTACAACTTCGCGGGACGAAACCATCGTATTGCCGATGACTTATCTAGAATACCATGTCTGATGTCCTGCTAAAAACGAGACCACAAATATGCATATCAACCCGCACGACTTATATATGGATATGGATGATAACTAGGCACCCCAAGAACAGCTCAAAAAGGTGCTGTGATTCACGTCTGGAAAGAGAATAGCAACCTAGGAAGCGGTATGTCGATACGGTCCAGTTGGGAATGCGTAAAAAAGTGAGACTGGTTACAGTTACAAGATGGTCTTCTAAAGAGAGCTGGAAAAAATGGAGGTGGCACGGATACAAGTGGGCATCTAGTGATACAGGAAAGTAGAAAATCTGAAGTACTACGATAATATGTCGAGAGGTTTTCTAAGAGTGGCGAAAATACAATACAAGTGCCAGCTTCACACGGCAATCATACTACTTTAAATTAACTCAGAAGCTGAATACCTTACGTGCAAAATATTTAAATGTCAAATTTTAATTTAAAGGTGGTTTATAGGGTAAAATTTCATTATATCTTTTTTCTAACACAAGTTCGCGTACCTACCAGGCTATTTTCTTTCGTCGCATTACTACAACGACCACCGACGTACTTGTCGCAAACAACTCAATTGATCGGGTTACACAATTAAACCAAATTTTACACCTAGTTTAAATAATCATTAAAATCCGAGCGTATAATAGGCACTCGCCATGTAATAATAATAATGTATAGTTTCCGTTGACACAATATGCCTCCCATGCAAAGGGTACGTATCTTTCATAAAGCAACTCTAATTTACAAACTTGTTTTAAATAAGAGGGAAAAATAAACGACAGAATTTTATTACCTAAACATGAGAATATTGAAAATTTACGAATTACATCTTATGAAACAGCGTGTTAGATTTACAGTTACTGCCATTCGGCTTTTAATTCCCTTATTTTATTACGGTAGCACCTTTATTTGAAAACTTATTACGTATTCCATTAGCGATTTAATTTGTTTGCGAGTTCTAAATTTGTTGCTTCATTACACCAACGAATGTGGTTACATTTTATACCATCCGAACGTTTCTTCCATAAGTTTTATATTTGAAAAAAAAGGTAATTTGGAAGCGTTATCGATTTCGTCAATTATATTTCCCGCAGGTAATTTAGGTGAAGGACAAATTAAAGGAAACCCTACTGAGATCACTTCAGGGTTTCTGTGAAATAAATCCATTTACAACAAGGTACTCAGGCTACGAAGTGCAAAACGTATAACGGCAAACAGTTCAACCCTCTACAGTGTAATTTAGATCAAATGCTGTATGTGCACCAAAACTTTGCAGCGATTTAGTTTCTGGAAAACATGAAGGAAGAGTTTTGTTACGAAGATTTGCCTTCGGCAAACCAGCGATTTACACTCGGCGAATGTCTCGGAGAAGGCGTACATGCGAAAGTGTTTAAATCGAAGGATTCGGAAACCGGAAAAGATGTAGCCATAAAGATACAAAGTTTCATTGACGACAATATGAAATTCATTCAAGAAGAGTACAACATACTCAGTAATTTTTCAAACCACCCTAATTTGGTGCAGTTTTATGGCGCTTATAAGAATCTTGGCGAGATGGGGGACGAAGTTTGGTTTGTTATGGAGGTACCAAAAATGGGGTATTTAGAATAATATTTGAAACAGTACTGATTGTAGTTATGCGGAGGTGGAACGGTTATGGATTTAGTAAGAGGAGTAGTCAGTAGCAACCGAAGGATGGCAGAAGAACACATTTCGCTTATTTTAAAAGAAATTCTAAAGGTAGATCCCACTTAGCATTCGTTTTCTCAATAAGCACTTTTAGGCTCTAACTTATCTGCACGAAAACAACATAATGCACCGCGACATTAAGGGAAGCAACGTTTTGCTTACAACCGAAGGTGATATAAAGTTATCAGACTTTGGTTTAAGTCGTGTATTAAAATCTGAGATGGAAAGGACAAACTCCTGCTTAGGCTCACCAAATTGGATGGCTCCAGAGGTCATTAGCGTGGCAAACCCCGAATTCAACGGATACGACAGTAGGGCCGATGTCTGGTCGGTAGGCATTTTAGCGCTCGAGCTCAGTAATGGTAAGTCGCCGTATCACAACATGCACCCCACCAGAGCCATATTTCAAATCGCACGAAACCCTCCACCGGGACTTGATCTACCAGGAAATTGGTCGGATACCTTCATAGACTTTATCGAGGAGTAAGTAATAATTGATGTACAAAAAGGGTTACAATACGAATCCTTTTAGATGCCTGGTAAAAAATCCCGAACACCGACCGTTTATGGTTGAACTGCTTGAGCATCCCTTTTTTGAGTTGGTTCCTAAAAAGTACTACTATGTAAGCAAATCCGTGCAATAGTCTTTCCATATTTAGCCAATGCCGTAGCTAAACCAAGAGTTGCTGATCTTAAATCAAGCATTTGGTTCCATTGGAAGAGCGAATCGACTACCTGAGATGATTATAAACACCAACCTATACAAGAAGGGCTACAATGAACCCATGGAACAAATGCTTGTTGAAGATCTATCTGCCTTAGATGAAATTAACGAAGAAATTGTTTTAGAAGAACTAAATAAAAGAATGTCTATTGGCCAATCTTCCACCTTTGTTGGTGACGTACTGCTTATTCTTAACCCCAATGAACAACAGGACGTTTATGGAGAAAAGGTAAACTCGGAGACAAATTTCATTTAATGTTCCCAGTGACGTTGCAGCAACATTCAAAATATCAATTTACATCTCGATCAGATTGCGCCCCTCACATATTCACCGTTGCGGACAGCGTCTATCAGGCGGCACTACACCAGGACAAAGTGCAACATATCATTTTGACGGGAGAAAGTTCGTCTGGTAAAACGACGAACTTTCTTCACCTGATAGAGCATCTACTGTTTTTGGGGAGAAACAAGAATATTAATCAGGGAAGAATACGGAACGCAATTAAATTGCTGCAAGCATTCACTCATGCTTCTACGCCATCAAATGATCATTCTACGAGGGCGGTTTTCCACGTTGAAATAAATTACAGTGGTACTGGGAAAAATACAGGCGCGCATTTTGAAGTGTATCAAATTGAGAAGTGGAGAATATCTAGTTTAGATGAGTAAGTTTACATTGTTTTTACCATTGCTTTTTTGTCTCTGAGTGCACTTTTGAGTTTATTGGCGGTTAGTAGGTTGATCTCGCTCTTACAGTTTCTTTCCCACAGTAAGATATTGAACGCATTTTTCTCAATCTCACTCAATTCAATTTTCTAGTCTGAGTAGACATTATCTACAGGGCGTTCAACGACGAGTTGAGTTGATTAGTATGTGGGAAACTAATAGGTACTAATACTAACGCAAATACCGAGAGAGTGGTCTAGTGGTAGGGTACATTACGAACACAAAAGAATAAGTCGATTTTCGACTCCGCCGGACGATCATAGGCATGTTCTTATCTTATCCAGGGTTGGACTCTATATTTTGAGTACCTGGAGTTTTGCTTCTTGAGTAATAGGAAACTATGGCGCATAGTGCCTCTTTGAAATTCGGTCCGGATCAGGGTGTGCTAAGCTAACACTATTAAACTCCTATCACATCATAAGTGTTCATAAAAGCGGATCTACTATTATTATTGCACTATTGCAAATAGATTTTTTTATTATTTTTTTTTATTTTGCCTTTATTTTTGAGTGGGAGGGGTTTTAGCCAAAGCTGCTCTACCAACCCAACCCACTATACATTTATAACTGAATTGCGCCACACAAAGTTGTGCATATTAGTTATTCACAGAGCTTGTTTCAGCTAAATTTGTTGTACATTGGGATTAAAGCGCAATTCCGAACATGTCATTCGAATACTAGGTCAATTTTCTTGCGTATCAAAATTATTTGTTGTTAATTTGTTTAAATAATCATTGCATTTTATGTATTTTTCAACCTTTGTTACGCGTTAAAAAACTAGATTGAAACATCTGGAAATAATTGTGTAGGATTGATCTCCGGTCGTAGATAAAAAGTTTTGTCATCGTGTCGTAAGCTGATTAGTTTCAAGATAAGAAAACACAGGTGCAGTTTATCGTTTGACGGCGCATTAATTTGTTATGGAAGTGAAAGCGGAAATGGGAAAGAAAGGGAAATTGCTTTAAAAAGAAAAGAGAATAGTTTTCATGTTACTTTTTTCTATTTCGTATCCCGAATTAGATCAGGTGTTAATTGAAAAATTCTTTGGAATTATTAAGCGCAATTCCGTACATGTCATTCGAGTGCTACGTCAATTTTCTCTTGTATAAGAATTATTTGTTGTTAATGTTGTTAAAATAATCACCTTGTATTTTATTTATTTGTTCAACTTTATTATGCGTTAAAAGACTATATTTAAACATATGGAAATAATGGTGTTGGATTTGTAATAGATTATCTCCGGTCGTACATAGATAAGAAGTATTGTCATCACGGCGCAAGCTGATTAGTTTCAAGATAGGAGAACACAGGTGCAGTTTATCGTTTAACGACGCGTTAATTTGTTAAGGAAGTGAAGGCGGAAATGGAAACGAAAGAAAAATTGCTTTAAATAGAAAAGAGAATCGTTTTCATCTTAAATTTTTCTATTTCGTACCCCGAATTACATCAGGTGTTAATTGAAAATGTCTTCTAAATTCCAAACGGACTGTTACTAAATTTTGACTAACACTCAAAATGAACTTTGGGCAAGAATCTACTAAAATTACTCGTAACTTGAATATGAAACTTCTCTGTTCGTTGTTAATAGAGGGTCCGAATTAACACACAACTTGCGTGAAATTACACAGATAACTTTTATTTTACAGACCCATAAGATAAAAGAAAAACAACCATTACAGTCCTGTTAAAATGGGTATTAGTGTTCAAAACAATATTACAATAAATTAAACAAATATAGCAAACGAGCTCCTGGGTATTGCTATAGCATGTGCAAAACCAAATTTTAAACCTGATGTTAGTTTTGCTTTTATTTAAAGTGTATATGTATGAAATTTCATTCAATTGCTTCCATAAATAAAAAAATTGGCACCGCACATCATACGTAAAACCAAATTTTGAAACTGGCGTTATATTTGCTTTTATTCCAAGTGGATATGTATCAAATTTCATTTAAATCCCTCCATAAATAAGAAAGTTGGCACTACGCATGCGCAAAACGGAATTTTGAAACTAGCGTTAAATTTGTTTTTATTCCAAGTGGTTATGTATCAAATTTTATTTAAATACCTTCATCAATAAGAAAGTTGCAATTCGGTCTGTAAATGATCGAGATGCGCAAAGGGCACTGTGAATGCTGATCGATTAGGCTCAACTTTTGGAATTATGTTTTATATGGCTAAAGTTATGCGCATATTGAATTTCATGCAGTTCGGTTCATAACTAACGGAGATGTCAAAAGGACCTACTTTAGTTTTTGGTCTACAATGCCAATTCACGAACTCCGATCTACAAATTTGATAAACAATCCACCTGCAAAATTTCATCGTAATCGGTCCATTCGTTTATGAGTTATCGTGCTAACGGACGGACGGACGGACAGACACCGTAAAATTATAAACTCGCTAGAAGCTCATTAATAAAGTGCCAACTAAATCCTAAAATTACTTACAGCACGCACAAACTTGGTCCTTCGACTTCTGTCCCACGTAATTGTATTTATACTTATTTTATGTTAACGTATAATATCTATCAAACTTGAAACCGCCAACCCAACTTTTCAAAAAATGATTCTATGCACGCACAAACAAAACCTCTTTCGAAAACATCACAAACGAAATCCAGACCGACCTTTAACTAACAAACAAAACTCCAACATGATTACAGTTTTTGTTCAACCCAAAACGCAGTTGGCTACGAAACTGGGTGAAATTAAACTCAGTATTCTCTTTTAACGAGAGGCACTGGAAACTGGCAAACAAACATTTAACCAAAAACTTGGACTCGAAAACTTTATACGACGAAAAATACTACTACAGACGGACAGCGGTTCCGCCCCGAATTTTAACAAAAAGTGTCTTCGTTTCACGTCTTTCGTATTTGAATGAAAATCCCACTTAATTTTTCGTAAAACTTTACCAACCAATAAACACTGCCTAGAAACTATAATAACCAACACATAACACCTCGATACGGCACGTACACCTTACTTCTACGAATTTTTCTTATATAATTCGATCAATTTCTACCTAATATTACAATTTTTTTAATAATTAAAATAGCCTCGTTATTTCCAAACAATTACCTTTATCTCTCACAAATACAGGAGAAACTTAATAAATCAACTCGAAACTGTCACAACTTGACAAGTAAAACTTAAGGGTACTTTAATTTCTTAATCTCACAATTCCCAGTTATACCTTATCATTTAAACAGAGAATAAATAAATATAACCCTGACCCCACGATTTGATAAAGTGTTTTGTGTTCAGACGTAATCAGGCCCACGACATTAAACAGAGAAAACAAAATTTTAATGAACATTAATTAATAACTAGGCCACTCGAATTCATTCCAAATGTCCTAATTTCAAAAGTCAACGTCCTGACCGACATTTTTTACACAGCAATATTTTTTTATTGCAGATCGCAAGCGAACTTTCATATTCTCTACTATTTCTATGACGGAATACAGGCCAATGGAGAGTTAAACAAGTATCTCCTCAGAGATGATCGTCAATGTCGTTATCTTCGTATACCACCCGAGGCTAAATGTAGTTGTAAACCAAGAGATGATCCCAAGTCAAACACTAAAAAGTTTCAAAAAATTCTCGAAATTTTGCGAGAGTTTCTGTTTGGAAAGGAAGAAATCGAAGCCATATTTAGCGCCTTGGCTGCTATACTAGTACTTGGTGATATAGACTTTGAATCGAACGAAATTGTTAATAAAGATTGCGCTTCTAAAGTGGCTCAATTGTTAAAGATAGAAGAAGAGGGCTTTATTTCTGGTCTGACTAGTTCGCATCTCAGAGATGTCCTTGCCAATACTTTGTACTCCAGAGTGGTGCAGTACATTGTTAGTGCCATCAATAGTAAACTCTGTTATGGGCGGGCCATATTGTAAGTATAATCCCCATCAGATACGTTACTAAACAAATGAATTGTAGTGGGGATAAATATGCGATCAAGGTTCTGGATTTTTATGGTTTTGAATCGTTTAAGTCCAACAGTTTTTCTCAATTTTTGATTAATTGCACAAACGAACAGATTCAGTACTTTTATAACCAAGCCGTTTTTTCGTGGGAAGAATTGGAATCAGTTGAAGAAAATATTCCATACCAATCAGTATTGTACTACAATAACAAGAAGGCTTTGGATGAGATGTTGGGAGCATTCAGCGTGCTTGCCTTGGTCGAAGAGGCTACCAAGGAGAATAAAGGAAGGGCTCACATTATCAGTACGTGAAACTTGGGTAACCCCATAATTACAAACTGTGTTTCAGGTGGTCTAATTAATAAAAATAAAACATTTGTCAGTAGAGAAACCGACAGTGAGTTTTGCGCAAATCACTACGCCGGAAGTGTAGTATACGACGCAACTAAAATGGCGGCTTTTAACAGAGACGTGTTGCCAGCAGAAACTATTAAACTACTACGCAGTTCGAACGATGCCATTTTAAAAACGTTATTCATGAGCAAATTAAACAAAATGGGAAATTCCTGCGTGAAGTTTGACGAGGATTTAAAACATCGAAAGGAGTTGATTAACAATGAGCAATATTTGCAAAAAGTGAAATTTGTCTAATTTTTTCATTTTAAGTACAACCTTTCACTTTTAGAATGCCAAACAATTTTCTCAAACTGCTAAGTTGTACTCGGCAGCAACCACATTTAAAGCATCCAGTCTTGAGTTAATGAAAGAACTATCGATAAGTGCACGTACTGGTGGGGCACACTTTGTTCGCTGCCTCAGATCGGACTTTGCTGGTAACCCGCAGAGTTTTCACAAAGAACTTATAAAACAACAATTGCGAGCATTGGCGGTGGTGGAAACGGCAACCGTTCGAAAGCGCGGTTTTTCACTACGAATTCCATTTATGGAATTTCTTAAAAGGTTGAATTCAGTACACTAGTTTTAATACGAAATTAATATTTGCACTTCCAGATATAAGTTTTTAGCATTCGATTTTACCGAAGCCGTTGACATCACAAAGGAAAATTGTCGTCTCCTCCTAATTCGACTAAACATGGAAAATTGGGCTATAGGAAAGACGAAGGTATTTCTAAAATATTATCACGAAGAATACCTCTCCAGGTATGTTGTGATACAAACGAAAAGGAACCACTCGAATAAGCATTTTTGGTAGATTATACGAAAAGCAGGTGAAGAAGATCATTAAAATTCAAGCGCTTATAAGATCATATCTAATTAAAAGAAAAATGGCTAAAAAGTTAACAGTTGATAATAAAAGTAATAGCTTCAAATTCACATGACGTAGGTATTCATACTTGTGCTTCTAGGTAAAGGTGAAAAGGAGCGAGTGGACTTAATTAGAGAAGAAGCGGCTATAGTCGTTCAAAAAGGTACTCTCTTTTCAAATTTTCAAGCCTTTTTTGTGCATGATTTTCTATAGCTAGCTCAAACTAGCGGTAATACTACAGTGTGGTTCGCTTACTAATTAAAAATTCATAAGCAATAACTTTGGAAAAGTGCTATCTCACACTGTTAGCAGAATATTTTAAATACTCCAGTACATTTAGTTAGCTTTCTTCTGAAAGAAACCTGTTCATTCCCTTTGTGAATCAGTAACAACTGTGACAAACATTCCAAAAGTTACCTCAAATTGAATTCTGATGAAAATGAAAAATTCTTACAATCTTCGCAAACAATGCAACCAATAATAATCTAAGCAAGCAAGTTTAAGTAGTAACCGTCTAGCATTTGTACCTTCCACAGCACCTTCCAGTCTTTAGCAAACCTTCGTGTCTTAGAATATGTCTAATCCTACTGTCCCTTTTCTTTTTCAGAGTAGGCCACAGACAAGGTCTATCTTCTTCAACTCTCCTCAACACCTCTTTATTTCTCACTTTGTCCACCCAAGAAATCTTTAATATTACATAGTATCATGGCATTTCTAGCGCCTTCTTTACCCATTTTTTGTCAGTCTTTGCAAGTGTCCAAGTCTTACTTCTGTACAGAAAAACGCTCCATTAAATGTTTTTATCAGAAGTCAGTATTGTTGGAGGTAAACAGTTTCCGTTTGTTGTTAAAGGTGGCATTCGGTTTATTATTTCTGTTTTTGATCTCCCATCCGATGTAACTTGCTTCCAAGGTACGTAAAAGAAACGTTTTCTAACCAATCGCCGCTTAGTGACCACTCTGCCGTTGTACCGTGTGTACTCGCCACCATGATTTTTGTATTTGACCCTTCTTATTTCTCAGCTAGCAATCATCTGCAAAGCGCAGCATGTGGATTGTTTTTCCTTGGACATTCACACCCCCTCCCCCTCCTGTCTTCATGTTTCGTCTTCATCCACACTCTTTTCAATGTAACCATTGAACAGGGGGAGGGGGAGGGGAGTGAGAGTGAGTATGATTTTTGTTTTTGACTCTTCTTGTGTCTCAGCTAGCAACCTTCTGCCAAGCGCAGCATGTGGATTCTTTTTCCTTGGACAGTCGCACCCCCCCTGTCTTCATTTTATCCACCCCTTCATCCAACCCCAAGTCTCATTCAAAGACAAATGCATGCATTAAAAAACAATCGCGAGCATAAAGGAACAAAACGCAGCAACTTTTTTAAAAACAATACGCTACTTTTTTACGATCCATTAACGTGTCTATTGAGCGTCTGCAAGTTGAGTTGGGCGTACTACCCCGCTCGCTTCTTCTAAATAGAGTTCACGTAGCGTTAATGAGGACGTACAATTTTGAAGCATTAGCCAAACTTCCGAATTTTCGTCCAAATATATGTGGGCCAATTTTTAGGGAAATTTTTCTAAAGAAAGAAAATTGTTATGGTTTTATCCGTCCGTGTGTCCGCTTGTTCCTCGTCTAATTCAAGAACGATAAGAGACAGTGGTGTCAAACCTTCGCGAATCGATTTCTATGAGTATTGAAAAATGAGCCGGATTAAAAGTCGTGGTTCTGAATGCCATCTGTCAAACTAGGAAACGGAACGGAAGATACAGTCGGAACCAAAATGACAGACGGAACGGAAGACAAAACGAAATGCGAAACGAAAGGCCAAGCGCAGGAAAAAACGAAAGCCGAAACAATATACTAATCAAAAGACGAAAGGAGAATGTTAACTAAAGCGAAATGAAAAAAGAATCGACACGAAACGATGTCAAATGGAAGGTAATTACACGAGGACAAACAAGACGACAAAGCGTGGAGACTATACGAACCGTAGCGTAACGTACAGTAACGTTATAACGTAGCTGTAGCGTCGCGTATGACGCAAAGCGACACAAAAATCTAAAATAACGTGAAAGGAACAAGACACGAAGAATCGCATACGATTTTCAGTAGGGGAATTTTTTGACACTCGGTTCCCATTCGAAAACAGATTTTTTAATTCGACTCCTATTCAATAGCACTGGTCCTTGAACTCGTAGAAATCGATTGGCAAAGGTTTGATATTGCTGTCTCTAGTTAGACGAGGAAAAGACGGACAGACAGAAGGCGGACGGACAAAACCATAATATAAATGGGAGTTTCTTTAAAAAAATTTCCCTAAAGAAAAACAGATGGGAGAAGGAGCTAAAACTGGAGACAAAACGAAACAAACCGTGGCGTAACGAATGGTAAGATAACGTATACGTAGCTAAGCAGGTGGGCAATCAAAAATGGATTGATGTCGAGTCGCCTTTGAAAGTTCAAGTTTAGTATGATTTCCAATGTAAACAAAAATTCCAAAGGTCACTCAACAGCTCACTTTTGATCGTATAGTACTATAACGTAATGTAACATGGTGGAACAAAAAGAAACAACACCAAAGGTGAAACAAAAGACACATCGAAACAACCAACGCAACGAACAAAATTACAGGCTGTTGACGTAACCCTGTCTCACTTCTTGCGTGAATTCTCTCGGTACAAATAAAACACCCCAGAATAATCTACAGGTGGTTATGGCTCAACGCGAATTTCGCTCAAAATAAAACAACCCTACGGTATTTTACAGATAACCTACTTAACTGCTCTGATCGCTTCACATTATTGCTTCACGGTCCTTTCCGAACAACCAACTGGAACAGAACAGGTTTTAAGTGAATGAAAAACTACGACTGCTTTATTTCAGCCTATCGAAACTACTACGGAAGAAAACACCACAAGGGTGTTCCACTTGATAACGATGAGACAAAGTTAGCGAGTTACTTTTTCAATAAATGGAAGAGAAAATCCGTGTACCAAATACTTTTGCAATACCGAGCATCTCAATACCAAGACTTATATAATTTGTCCCAACAGGTAAGTGTAGACGCCAGATCAGGTTAGATCAAGTTACTTTTTGTTCCCAAAGGTCCACCTCTACAATCAATACATTATGAATGAAGTTACCATGTTGGAAGACGTGGAGCTAAGTTCCGTTGTTTCAAATGCGGATCCTGAAATATTTTTGGGGGAGAATAAGTCATCCGTTTTGAAATTGCCGTTTCGATTGGATAACATACCCTTTTACGATACAGTGCATCTGTGTCACTTGACAACGAAAGAGTAAGTTACAACTTGTAGCACCATCTGTTAATGTCGTCACAAAACGTCTAGCCACAAGGTCTATATAGACTTATATTACTGGAGAATAAAGATTAGACTGTGGCAAAGTGGATTTGGACGAAAATTTGAAAAAATAATACTTTAAATAATACCGTAATTACATTGCAGTTCTGAAGATGAAGAGAATTGGGACTCTCCATTTTATTTGCGCGAAATTTCCGATATATCCGCAATAGGTTACTACAAGGGCGTGGAAGCAAAACTTCAATTAACAAAGCTGCCATTTAAGCGTCAACCTTCCGAATTCACCCCATTATCAAACGATGTCGAAGTCTGTAAATTACAAAACGAAAACGAAGTACCCAAATCTCCCTTAATCAATCGTAAATTAGTAGTGGAACATTTAAATAGTATCAACAATACTACTTCGGCCGATAAGGATTTCGAATACATAAAGGCGCCGATTTTAAAGAAAACCCCTAAACCGAAAGATGATTACGCCGATCCAATCAATGAGCTTGAAAGTAAAGGGAGACGAAAGTCGCTTGTTCACGAAGACGAGCCACCGTTTAATTTTCAAGCTATGCTGAGAAAGACTAACTACCGAAAGGAATTTGACGAAAAAACAGATTCAGATAAAGACACCACCCAAAATGAACTGTTTGAGCAGTCTCTGGCAGAGAAAAAGAACATGTTGAAAGGGATCAAGAAGGAAGCACCAAAAGTTAAAGTTTCATTTGGGGAGGATGTACATGTTGTAACTGATGTAGCACCTGGAATTACCTTAGAGGGAGTTCTTGTAGACTTATAGATTTGCTGTTCTTGTGGATGGAAGTGTACCTACGATCTATCTAAAATGGTCTAGACTGGAGTTCTCTCATTCCATGAGATACTAGGTACCTATGTGCCGTCTTCTATTCTACAATGATAAAATCACATTACGAAGGTGTCAGAAAGAGAATCACACCTTCTTATCTGCTCCTCATTAAAGATTTGTGATCTAGATCATTTTTAGATAGACCGTTGGTGATCTAAGAATATTTTTTCGCACTATATTTACTCAATGTTGTTAGAGAAAGTTTGTTTTATACGTCCTCACTACGACAGAGACATTTACGATTACGTTATATTGATTTCGTCCTTCATGTTTATATAGCGTTAACAAAATTTAAAATGCTAGGTTTTAATTATGAAAGTAAAATAAATCAATAAATACTTACATCCATACAATATTTAACTGAACCACAAGCAACGCTGAGCAAAATACACTTAATTTGTATTTAAAATACACGAGTAGGTATAACGGTATTTTCATACTTTGTCCTTGGAAAATTTTGGAGACCAGGGGCAAAGTCTGAATGGGACATCGCCTAATTTTGGCAGTTTGTCCCAGAAGGGTGAGGTCATATTTGGCTGTTTGACGGATACCTTTATGTCCTTATATGTAAAGTAAATAAGTAGGTATGTATATAAAGCTTTAGTTGTCACGTCGACAAGCAGTCGGCTCAAGAACTAAGCCAAATTGCACAAGTTCAACATTTTTGCCAACATAACACTCCTATTTATTTCCGAAGGGAAAATTCGACATTATCAAATCACCTAGAAGAAACCCTTCTGGAGATAGAGAAAGCGTAGAAGAATTTAATCCACCGAACATCATCGATCGATCCATCTTCGTACGTGTGACCATAACCCTAAAATATACTCTTATTAGGCCATGCGTATGACCACAGATTTAATAGTATATTTACATCTGTGGTATGACAGAACGGTGTACGAATAGTTTCGTTTGAAATCACATCGTGAAGCATCTTCAACGATCGTCATGAAACAATTTCCCAACAGATTATTTGTGTCCGGTTACTGTGTGAATGCATTTCATTAATGGACATTAACCGCATTCGTTGTAATGCAAGTTAATTCACGTAATTTCATGGTAATTCACGTTAATTCGCGCAAATTCAAATTAATTTACGTTAATTCTCGTTAATTCTAATTAATACACGTTAATTCTAATTCATACACGTTAATTCTAATTAATACACGGTAATTCTAATTAATTCACGTTAATTCCAATTAATTCAAATGAATAAATTAAGAGGAGTGTACACCAAAAATTCAAAGTTGTTTCCCCCTACTTAGGTCCAATCAAGTCTTCGCAATGCAATTGAAGATCGACCTACCTACATAGTTTATTAGCGCATTTTTTAAGAATTAAAAAAAATTGCTTTTGTTTGCGTTTTGTCCGTCCGTCCGTACGGACCCACTTCTGCTGTGTTGAGTTACTTTTGGAGAATGGTCCTAGAGTCCTGGAATTTGTTTGCAATGGTATGGCCTACACTTTGAGGTGTGCCAGACGGCCATCAAATTTCGCTGGTTTGGGGGGGGGGAGGGGCGGGGGGGGGGCGTAGATCCCTACACTTCGGGTACCATTTCGTATACAATGCTTCGTTAAGAAGCATAGAGACATAGAGATTTACGTGTATTGTTTCTTCCTATGTCTACTTGAAATTACAAAATCTTTTCTGAAGGGCGCCTAATTTTATGCAACCAAAATAACTCGTAAAACATTTAAAGATCTGGCTGTCATATTCATTAATTTGAATACTGTTGCTTTGTATATTGTATATTGTAAATATATTTCTATAAAACGCAACAACATTTTATTTAGCGTCGCTCCTTAAATAACTGGCGTCTCAGAAAAAACAGCATTCAACATAGTAAGAACACAATCGAGCATACGCTTGCATAAGAAGATAAAACAGAGGGGTCTCCGATATTATCCACTCTCCCCCGGCCGAAAACAGTACTCAGTTCTGAAAAAGAGATCGACGGCCCGTTTCACGGACAGCGAAAAGCGACGCCTGCAAAAACTGTTGATTGGAATTGAACTGAGCGACCTCAAACCGTCCCAATTACTTCTACAACTTCTTAACCTAGGTGCTCCCACGCAGCGGGTACGCCAGTATCAAGTCATTACGGTAGCTCTCACGATTGCCACATCAGCACCAGGCGATTTAGCGGTCAGTCCCGATAACCTGGATCAACTCGTAAGTCGTAACTATGACCGACAAGCTGTATGAGGTATAAACCATTGGAATTATCACCACTTAATTGGGAAACCACTTTGACGGCTCGAGTCAACGCCCTCCATACACAAGATCCAGGCGACAACCGTCAGTGGCACCGAAAACGCTCGCATTTCCGATCTTCTAGAAGCAATCTCCCCTACGTACGCCCAGGCGAATACTGGTGTAATCGAATATTCGGTGTCCGAGTAAAAAATTGCACGGATCCCAGTTCGTACAGGACTACCAATCCAGAAAACTAATTTCCTCGTCGCCGTCTACGGCAGTGTGTGATGACACCAAAAGCATTTGCCGCCTACTCGTTAAAGACGTTAAACCCAACACCCGACCCGATTCGTAGTGGAGACAGGAGCCGACGTGTCCGTTTTTCCCGTCCTCAGCTCGCGACATCGCCAAGTCTCGGGCAAGTATAAACTTTTTGCTGCCAATGAGACCGTATCATCAACACCTACCGTACCTTCAAGCTGCTGTCCCCGAACCTAGACCATCCCAGAAACTTAGTGAGCCAGTTCATCCTGTGTGATGTCAACATAGACATATCATATGTCTATGGATGTCAACCACCCCATCATCGGTTCCGTCTTCCTTCGCGCGTGGACGTAAAAAGAACCAGACTGATAGACGATTGGGAGAATTGGAAAAAATATATCCATTTTGGTGATCCCAAAACTTTAACAGCAAATCTCTCAAAAACGGTATGTCGGAGGCAAAATGGATCGTCTGGTGGACACTAGACATATCTATGGGTTAGGTCGAATCGAATATCTAAAACGAAGTATCGGAAGAGAGTACTCATAAAGGGCAAGTGCAGTGCCGGATTAACCCTAGGCAATGCATCTCTGGGGGCCTCCCTTTCCTTTTCTTTCATTTTAAAATAGTTTTTTCTATGACAATGCAAATTGTCGCTATTAAAGATGGAGCAAAAGCTCTCACACTCAAACCATTAGAGATATAGACATGAAACGCTTCCATTTGAAATTATTTCACGTATTTTGAGGTTAAAAAAATTTGTTTCACACATGGTTTTTGAGTGCGACTGCCATTTTGAATTTTTTCAAATGGTTTATACTATAAGTCATGTCATTACAAGGCTTTTTTTCTTTCTTCCATTATTAAATTTTTTAGCGCATTTTTGAAAAAAATACACTATTATATTCGTTATATGGCTAGCCGGCTGAGATATTCTCAGCAGTTACAATAGCTATAAACACTTCAAATTTTCACTAACAATTTCTGATATAGTGTGTATGTGCAGGCTCTAGCAGGGCCGGTGGGCCGTTCCTATCTATAGAGCGATGCGTGAAAATCACGCAGGCCGCCGAAGCAAAGGGCGGCTCGAAGTTACAAGAGAAGAAGCGCTCCTCAAAGGATTCATTATTATACACTTATTGATTGATTATACAGGCTGTTAATTAATTGAATGCCGATAATACAGGGTGTGAATCCTCGGGTGATTTTAAGGAAAAAGTTTATATCCGTACGGGGTTTGAACTGAAAATGTCATTTATTAAGTTGAGGAAATGTTGATATAAAAATATATTTGCGACTGTCAATTACACAAGAACAGTTGACAAATTATAGCAATAGAACAAAATTTAGTTTATTCTATCAATTTGGAAAAAGGGGCGGCAATTTCATTTTTATCACGCAGGCGGCCAAGAGTCTAGGAAGGGCCCTGGGCTCTATTCTAGATATATCATGTTGTCTGTGGTATTACAGTGTTTAAATCTGTGGTATTACTTACTACATCACAGAGCAAAGAATGTGTATTGTTGGTGGTCTAACCATTTGTAATAATTTGAAAATTGACTAGAGGAACAGTAACTTTATACTGCTCACTAGCACGATCGCGACGGTGGCAAAATTCCAAATTTTTTATTGAGCTCATTGGTTTAACAGAATTGGTAGGTTTTGCTATGGTTACAATATTTTCGGAATTGTTTCCAGCAAAGGCCTGCACCTTGGTTTCCAGGTAGATTTCTACCAATTCGGTGTATCTGGAGGAAACATGGCGCAGGCAATAGAAAATAATAATACAAAAGATAATTATCAATGATACAAGGTTAAACCAAAGTTTTTTTTTTGAAACTCATTAATTACAAAAAAAATGCAAAGTTTAAAATAAATATGCCAAGAAACTGTTTATCAAGTTTTAGAATATTCGATCATAATGGCACATCCCAAATCAAGCAATTGGATGTATTCGGAACCACCATCCTGTAAACGATAACTCACAGTCTAAAAAAATTTATAATTACATGCTGTTCAACATTGAAATGTAAAACTCACCCCTAACTTTTCACCAATTATCGCTTTCTGCTTATCATTAAATTCATCTGTATTTACAATGAATTCATTCATCTGTTTCAAAATCTAAAAAACCAAATCACAAAGAACCCAAAACCCGACTTGTGCTTACCTGTGAAGCAGTATATGCTTCCAAAATAAATGTTTCAATAAAAACCTCTAATTTTGAATAATCGTTTGATTTACATGCCTGCAAATAATTTTTGATCCATTGTTCGGGAACCACCTAGAAATCATTAATTGAGCCAAAAGAAAATAACAAAAATCAACATACTCCAGTAATCTCATAGACATCCTGCATACTGATGGTTGTGTCTTTCCCTTTTAATGTGGAACAACTTTGAAGAGATGTGGTTGCACGCCTCATATCTCCGCCGCTAGTTTTCACTAGAGCATTTAGAACATCAGAATCTATTTGCAAACTTTCCTCTTTGGCAATGTGTTGCAATCTGCAAATTGGACAAATAAGTAACAGAAAATTAAAACATGTGTCTACCTTTCAAGTATCTTGGACTCATCCAGCGGTTTAAACTGAAATTTCGTACACCTCGAAGTTAAAGGTTCAATGATTCTTGACACATAATTACATATTAAACAAAATCGTGTAGTTTTAGATTCTTTTTCCATTGTCCTTCTGAGAGCAGCCTGTGCTGCGTTTGTTAAGGAGTCAGCCTCATCTAGTATGATTATTTTGAACGGAGGGCAAGGTTTTCCACTAGAAATGTACATGAACTTAAAACATACAAGCTCACAATTTCTCTTACTCATGACGAACTGCACTAGCAGTTAATTGTGCAAACGTTTTCACTTTATCACGAATTACTTGAATGCCACGTTCATCAGATGCATTCAGCTCTAGTATACGATCTTTATACATGTCTCCAAACAGCTGCCGTGCGGCTGCCAAAACAGTGCTTGTTTTACCTGTACCTGGAGGTCCATAAAAGAGTAAATTAGGCAGATCGGCTCCTGCAATGCACTGTTCTAAAACTTGCACGGCCTCATTTTGTTCAACTATATCCGAAACTGTTCGTGGCCGACTAAAATGGAGCTTTAGAAAGACATTGTCAGATTGCTTACCCACTATTTCTCGATCCAAGGAACTGATCTTTTTTTCTTTGAAGTTTCATTATTTGCATGACTACTCTTATCTACTTTTGTTGTACTACTGCCCAACTTTCCAGACTTGAGAAATGACTCCATTTTAAACTGTTTTATTATAACGAAAATACACACCACATAACCAACACTATAAAATTGCAGAAACAAATCAGGATTCAGGAATCCCGCCAAATGCCATAGTTTATAACCTAAAAGTTAACAATATAAAAGTGGCTATGCTGCAGTACATTTGAATGTGGCTATGGCTACGGCAAAACAGATGTCCGCTGTTGCAATCTCGGAGTGTACAGTCCTCACAGCAAGTGTTTGCCTCGTGTCGCGCAGGTATATCGTGCGCTCGGCAGCGGTCGGTTGTCTAAATTACCTACCCTACCAGTGGCGCCGCAAAATTACAAGAAAAAAAAATAATACGTATATCAATCTTTATTTATAAGTCATTTACGTTTGTATATTCGTCAAATGATTCAAAATAGAACACATGCCCATCGCCGGAATTTTAAGATTGTTAGTTGTGGAGATCGAAACATCAAAATTTAGATTCGGCGTTATATGAATTAGCCCTCACGCCGCCACCGAGGATACGCAATCGCGCGCATTCAAACAATTTAAATTCGGACGAGTGCGCATCCTACCGCTGGGCAAACACTCGCCGTGAGGACAGTAGTTACTAATCAAATATTATGTGTCCAAATCCAAACCAGAATCTAAAGTTCACATCCCTGATTGTATTAAACCGACCTATTTCTTTTGGATAGACAGGTTATTATGACCATACGAATAGGTATAACAGACTTGTTTCAGTTTCAACAGATGTTGCTATTAAACAGTCCTGTTGGTAAACCGGTTCCGATAGAGTTCGTTATGAAACCATTCCCCGGTGTAGTTGCAAAATTCTTGCTCGCCAAAAGTTTAGTAGGAGAAGCCAATTACAGTTCTTGGTTGGGTTAATACGTGGAACTGGATTCGGCAATCTAGTCACCCACCCAATTAATTGGTTATTAGGAGATTCCTACATATTCACGACGTTGGTTCGAGCGTGCGCATTGGAACCGTTTGAATTTTACGCAGACGAAAGCTTTCATGGGCCACCCTGTACAATGCGGAAATGAAACAAACAAGTCATCGAGTCGGACCTAAACCAGTATAATGAAAGCACTTTCCATGAATTGATCAGCATCGGTACCGACTTCCCAAGATCATGTACCTAACAGACGATTGATGTGTGAGATCATAAATATTTTTATAAATAAAGAACTTAGTATTGCGCAGTCTGCGCATGCCCACATCTTTCTGTTAATTAATTCGTTTTTTTTTCGTTAAGGCTTGCTATGGTCATTTGCTTTTATTTCTTAAGTTTACTGTACCTACTATTTGGCTTTAGATTCTTTTTATTTGTCCTGTTATTTTTAGATATGTCAGTAATGTTTCTATTGCACTTTTCTCATCAAGAAAAATTTCTCATTCAGTTTCTGGGTATTTGCATTTTCTGTGTTATACGTTGGGCATTCACAAGAACATGTCCTGACACTGAAATAGATATCACAGTCGTTGCATTTCTGTTGTGGGCTCTTTCCTAATAAGCTTTAATGCTTATTTGCTGTTATTAATAATGCTTTAAGTTTGTGTGACCAAGTCTTATTCTTGATAACGCAACCTGTTCTCTTCTACTTCCGTAGTACTTATTTTCCCATGGGATAATGATTGACTTGATTTCCTTTAGGTAAGTATGTACATTATCCCATTTCGTCCGCCATGTATCTTTCAACGATTGTTTGATATAGGGACCCTTTCAAATTATTTGGTCTTACGAGGATGCTATTAAGGTAAGTAGGTACCTCTAGACGCTTCTTGTGCTGCTTTGTCAACTACCAAGTTACCAGGAATTCCGGCGCGTGTCCTGATATCCATGTATAAATTTTTTAAGAATTAGTCACCACCATTTGTAGGCGATTTCTATATTTATTTGGTTTTTGTAGTAATTAGTTATTAAGAAGATTAGCTTAAACCGCCAAGGATTAGTAAACTCCTTATATTGAATGTCTCTTCCTATAAACACAATTCCCAGGCTATTAATGAAACTAATAAAAAGCCAATATACGTTATATATAGAAAAAAAACAGACACAAATGCGACAGGATAGGATATGGTGCTCCTCAAGAAGGTGACGATCTCATGGTTCATTATAGCTAAATTATGGAACTTATGATGATGCTAGAGGTCCCCCAAGCCTATAGTGAAAATGCTGACTTACCCTATACTTACAGTTGCCAACTCTGGGAAACACCATATATGTATACAGGGTGTTTGGTAAACATGCGGCAAAAATGAAAGAGGTTATTCCTTGGACTATTCTAATGATATTTTATCCTTTGATGATTTTTGAAAAAACTCATTCGAATAATGAGCCATGATAGAGGATTTCACAAACAACCGTTTAAGTAATAAGGGCAGAAATTACACATGTATCTTCGCAACGAAGCGTTTTTTAAAAAATCATCAAAGGATAAAATAACATTAGAATAGTCCAAGGAATAACCTCTTTCATTTTTGCCGCATGTTTACCAAACACCCTGTATAAGAGAAGTATATATATATGGAAACACTACGAGCAGAGCCACCTACAAGTCGAAACGACAGGCAAGTTCTTGTTGTTGGAACGTGAGTATAATCTTTTGTGCGTACGAAAAGACAAGAACAAATAAGATTACGCACACAAGGTAATGCCCAGGAAACCTCCATGGGACAAAACCCCAGCAAATAAAACATCTCAAATTGTAGGATAAAAATCAGGTAACAAATCAAATGCAGTTAAACATCAAATTCACTAAATAAAACAACACACTAGATATCATAAATGCAAGTGGAAAACATGATTAATCAATTTGGTACAAAAACACATATACGATCAATTGAGATAAAACAACGGCAAATGATAAATTGTATGTACATAAGAAAACATCAAAATGGCGGGGCTCTACTCCAGCCTGTTTCCATAAATAATTTAACACGCTGACACCCAAGGTACATATAAGAATGCCAATAGCAAATATTCATGTTGAAGTTCATTATCGACCAAGCACAACACATTTTAAATAGAAGGAATGTTAATATTAGAGGATCTCTCTCGTATAACTTGTGCACCATCCACCAGTGGGCCACGAGCAAGGATACTATATAATATAAGGATTGCTCGATCCCTATACTTGTAATGTTGCCCAAGTTTAAGTCATATGTGACGTCACCAACGGACCTGGCTGTCAGAATTGACAGTTATAATTTGCTAAGTTGTGAACGTATTTGCATGGACGCCAGGATGCCGATGTGCAATATTAGACTGTAACAACAGCCGTGTTTGCACAAAAATCACTAACCCGGAAGTCATTTATCATAACTTCCCTAAAACCGATGGATTAATACGCAAGGAATGGATATGGTGCTGCAAGCGAGATTAATGGACAAGTGTTTCTAATTTAGGTAAATGCCTGCCTACAACACCCATTTGAACGTATTTTATGGTAATCCTAAAGGTCGATTCTCATTAGAGCAGCCCCGAGCGGCGCGGCGCAGAGCAGCGCTGCGCGTCGCTAGCAGCAAATTGTAGAGGGGTATTCCCACTTAAGTACCATTTGAAAGCGTGACGAAGCAGCGTGTCTGTTCAGTTTAAGGGAGAATGTATTCTTACACGCTCGAAGAAGAGCCATCATCATCATCACCAGATGATTTCATAATATTTATAGCGGCACTATGCCATGTACATGACGAAAAAAGAAGAAAAAGAAAGCGGACGAGTACAATTAATTTTTCTATTCTTTGTCCGTCCATAGCGAATCCACTAACACACGCAAGCTCAACACAGAAGACAAATAAATGCTTTTCACAAGCCGCAGCACCACGTCGATCTGCTTCGCTCCCCGATTCCCACTTGTCCGTCTACACGCAGAGCAGCGCGTTTCAAAGCAGCGCCGTATATTCCAATGCTTCCCGACGCGTTTAAAATTTGCTGCGCTGCACCGCGCCGCTCTGCTCTGCACCGCTCTGCCTAGGTGAAAACGGATCTACTTATTTACATGCGAACAATTGAGAGCAGCTTTTCACCGCGCCGCGCTGCTCGATGCTGCTATAATGGGAATCGGCCTTAATCAAAGCATGCGTTGGTACTGGGTCCGCGAGTGACGTCACTACACGCGGCGAAAAAATTCAGTGATCGAGCAATCCTTATATTATATAGTATCCTTGGGCCACGAGTAAGAGATACAGCAAAGTAACGTACCGTATTAGATACTTCCTTCATGGAAACAGTTGAACCACTCAATACACAGAAACATAACAATAGAGCCCCCCCCCGTATAGGTAACGCGCCGTCCGGCGGCGGGCCACAAATAGGAAAGTAACAGTTACAGCGGAGAAAAATTTCTTTTAAAGTCGTTCCAGTATGGTAGTTTCACGTGGAATTATTTTCGTCTGGTTTTTGTCCCATTTTTTTTTTATAGGATTTTCATTGCAAGTGAAACGCGCATTTTCAACTTCGTTTTGTAATACTAAAGTGATAAACCATGTTCGATTTGGAAAATCTTATAAAAAGCATACTCTCCTCCACAAAATTTACTTAAGACATTACATCAATTATTTAATACAAGACAATTTGACCACTTGTAATTATAGTAGGAAAATTAACCATAAGGCGGGTTATAGGGTGGAGGTTGAGGAGGATACGGATTGGGATTCATCTGTCGTTGGAGTTGTGCAACAAGTGCAGGCGAAGGTTGTGCGCCTAACCCTGCATTCTGTTGCTGTTGCTGCTGTTGCATTACCATCATCTGCTGCCTCATACGCTGTTGCTGCTGCTGCTGAAACTGGTTTTGCTGTACTCCCTGCATGCCCTGTCCGACAGGCCTCGAATATGGCGGTGCCGGTCCAGTCTGCGCGCCGCCCATAGCGTTCATATTATTGAGGTTGGCGTTCATTGTCACATTAGGAACTTGCTGCATGTACTGAGGTCGCGCATGCTGTGCCATTCCCCTGTAATCCGGCTGTGGAGCTCGCGCCTGGCTGAAGCCTTGTTGCTGCCCGCCAAACATACCAGTTTGTTGCGTTTGCATAAGCTGAGGATTGTTTTGCAAACTCGCCTGCATCATATTACCAGGATTGCCGTAATTGTTACACTGCTGGTTCATCGTATTGGGCATATTTCCGTATTGTTGGAACATTGCCTGTAAACCAAACTGTAGGTAGGATTCTAAAAGAGAAATTGGCCCTACCTGATTTGATTGCATGGTTCCCGGATGTTGCTGTCTCATTGGCTGACGTGGAAACTGTCTCTGCATAGTTGCGTAATTGGCATTTTGAGTTGGGGGCCCCGAATTCTGTCCTCCCGGTCCCAAAAATTGATTTAACGGATGGCGTTGCTTTAACATGAGCGACAGGGCTTGCTTTGATTGGTTAATTTGTTGAGGGCGTTCAAATCGATTTACTAAAATACCGTCATTTAAAGAGATAAAGAAGTAAGGAAGGGTGTTACCATTAGGCATCTGCTGGGGGTAATATCCTTGTTGCTGCTGCTGCTGCTGTTGTTGCTGTTGCTGCTGCTGTTGATTATACCACTGTTGTTGTCCCATTGCAGCACCAAATTGTTGGCCTTGTTGCATTCCAGTAGCGCCTTGATTGTACTGTCCCATATGCTGCATTTGCTGAGAAGGTCCTTGCACACCTTGCATTGCCATACCTGGTTGAGTCTGCGCCATTGGTGATTGCGTCATAGCCATTGCTGCTGCACTTGCCATTTGTCCAGATGCGGACTTTGCTTTGCGCGGTCTACGTTGGCCTTTACCACGTCCTTTGCTTAAAATGCCACTGTGCGGACTTTGATCAACCGATGATGGTGTATCAACCTATGATTTATACACAATAAAATAAAAAATTAAATGAACAAGAATTTCTACAGATGTTTACATCAAAATGACAAGTAATTTTTTGTCAGTCACAGCTTACTAAATTTAATTCTTCCTTTACTTACAGGTTTGTCAGGGATTGGTTCTAAATCTTCTGGTGGTAGAGGCGGTGGATCCAGATAATGGGAGGCAGGTCTTTGTAAATTATGGGTATGAAATCTCAGCAATCGAAATGTTTCTTCACATGCAAGTGGACGCCGTTCTAATCTTACCGCACCAAACCACGCCCATGATAACGGAGCCGGATTCTTCATACCCTCAAGTAAATCCCAACTGCTCACTCTTTGTCGATCGGTCATCTACAATTATTTTATTTTGCAATGAGAATGAAAAGTTGGTCGTTTTTACTTGTAGTCCGTGTTTTTTATCAATACTGTCGAAACTTATTTTATTTCCTTTACTGTCGGTAAGGCAACCAATTGGTTCAACAGCGATCACTTCAGTTACTTGCCTAGGAAATGGTAACAGTTGTCTAATATGCTGTAAAGATGCGCTATACTTTTCCCCTACTTCTTTTTTCAGTTTTTTCATTAGATTTTGATACATTTTTCTACCATCATCCTAAAACCTTTGATATTTTAAACATTTTCGAGGTTGAATGAAAAGTACCTGACTATCGGATGCTAAAGCTGAATGTATAAGTGTAGCCAGCATATCAATGACAGTTGTGAATAACTCATTGTGGGTGTGCAAATCGATTAAGCCATGTGTTACCAATTGAACCAAAAGCAGACACCAATCAGTTAAAGCTGTGGAACTTCTTTGGATAGCTTCAAAAACTCCACCAACAAGAGAGAATCTCAACTGCAAACCATCCAAAGTCCGTTCATTACTAACAATCTCCAATAAGTTTCCGTCACGGGCCAATGACACCAACTGCAATATAAATCCTTTACCCTCCTGAAAATTGTATTATACTGACCTGGGTCAATTGTGAATGTAAGGAAAATAACAGCCCTTCTCTTTGACCCTCCTCTTGTCCTTTGAGACACGTAAGAACCAACGTTAAAAATGGTTGATGGCTCAGTAAACTTTGGTTTTCAACATTGGAACGCTGTTTATTTTTTTGTTCACGACACCACCCACCGCTCTCCAACACTTGTGCGGCAACCTTCAAAACTCGTCCTTGCACAGCACTTGGCAATTTCGAAATAAGTGGAGCGACTAACCATATCGAATTATGATGCTTGTTTCTGGCATTAAATTAGTTATACGAGCAGATTCGTTCATACTTTAACTTACTTTTTCTCTTCACTGTGAGGATTTGAAGAAGGTGTCAGTTGAAACACATCAATCGCGGCCTTAGCAACTGTATCCAGCCATTGATTTAGCTCGGACGAGGTAGTATTAAATTGTTTAAACATCAATTGGAGATCCAACCACGACATCCGTAAACTCCACTGCTCCAAATTCTGAAACATTCAATCTCACGGAATTTGGACAAAAAAAACGTTGTGTCACCTCTAATATGCGACCAATCATGCTTTTCTGATCCAACTCTTCAATTGCTGAACTCACGTCGGGATAACAAATCATATGCAACAATCTCTGTGCCTGGGAATGCGATAATAAGGGATCGAGTAAATTGTCAGGATGGCAGAGCTCCTCGGGATGAGACAGGCACCTTTCCAACACCCACTGTTGTGAGCATATTTCTCGTAGAACGTGGCATGCGAAGGCAGATAAGGAGGCAGTGCTTTCACCATTTACAGTGCTCGATGGACTGTAACAAGTGAACAACTTATTTCCAAGTTTGCAAAACGTCCGCCTAAGAACTCACACTATATCAGAAGATGGTCCATCTCCGCCGCTAAGCAAATCACTTGTACCTAAAATATGCGAAATACTCAGTTCAGTTCCCTCTTTCGCAGTTGCATCGCCAACAACTAATACTGCTTTTAAAACGGCAAGTACCGGGCCCACATGAATATTACGATGTGCGGCCGCCAATAAGTGCCTATCACAACTTAATCGTACTCCTAAAGGAGGTCTAGGAGCTGTCAGGGGAGGAGATCCTACAGAATAAAGTCCAGGTTGTGGACCTTCGGCAGTTCTAAACAGTCTTAAAAGTAAATGACACGTTAGTCGCATGCCACCTTCGGCAGATGACCCACTATTATCCAACGATTTAACCTAAAAAATAATTTCTAACCTTGTTTCTAATACACTAAGGATATTACCTTTAAAAGGCTCGGCAGAGCGATACGGGCTACAAAATCTTCTAATGAGAAGCAATGTCGAGCGATAAGAACACAAGTAAATACTGCTAAGGCATTGTGGATGCTGATATCCTGAAAACCACACATTACAGAACAGTACCAATTGAATGTAAAATAATAACCTGTATGTCGAGTTGCGCAAAAACATCTGTGTAATAGCCGGGATGAGACATAGGACAACATAGGGCTAGTAAAGCACCCAACCATTCAAAGGCTAACGAATTACAACATGCCGTCATTTCAGCACACATAATAGCCAGATCGTTAAGTCGTTCATTGTCAGTCTCACGGCATACATATATAATGGCGTTACTTACAAATGAATACCTGGAACAAATATTTTCTTACACTCTACTTCTGATACAATTAAAAGCATATAAACATAAAAATCGAGTTGTGATAGTCTGGGAGATAGTAACAGTCTCATTTTTTTCAGGCTTGATTGATCTTTTATTTTATACTAAATAGTTATTACCACCCGCAAATAAGGGAGGTATTGCATTGCGGTAAAAAATGTTCAATTTCGATCATGTTATTCTAATTGAAATCAATGTTGATTTTTTGGTTAAGATTTATTTAATAAAGGAATATTTTTCTTTAAATAATCGCTTTGTTTATTTGTTTACTTTATTGTAAAGTTAAATTACGTGCGTTAATAAGTTAAGGAACATTTGGAAATAATTGCGTGTTGTTTTGTAAAAGTTTATCTCTTTTAAATCCGGTCATTGCGATAAGAAGTTTATCGCTGCGTAAAGCGTGTTATCGCTAAAGGTGTGAGTTTATCGGAGACGCATTAAATTTGATACAGAAGTACAGACGAAAAGTGAGTGACGGAAAAATGTTTGATATAGCAGAGGAAAACGTGAACCGTGGCTTTTTTTTGTTTGGTGCACATTGTAACGTAGTAATGTGATATATTAATGGAAGGGAGACCCTGTTGGGTATTGACTTTCTCACTTCAGTAAATGTCGTAGTCAATATACCTAAAAAGCAATGGCGGTTTGAGAATTATTTGACATGATACAGTGCAACAGCTACGCAACTCCAGACAGCACAAAGTATCCGCATAAAAAAAAGACACGGAGAGTCAATTGGGCTAATTCTTTGTATCACAGTTTTTCGTCTCTTAAGGTTGTGGCCAACAATTTCAAAAAAGGATACAACATTCAGAGATATTTAAAAACAACGTTGTTGCAACATGTAAATTTATAGCCGTCCAAACTAGTGGCATGTCATCCCTTTGAGGTCTCGGCGCGAAAAAACGCCAACTAGGCGATCCACGTCCGTAGCGTTCCATGTATCACAGTTTTGATACGGTTCTGTGCAACGTATCCCTGCCTACCCTGATACGATATGAGGATATGCAACAAGTCTGGACTGGCCTTTAAATGTAGAGATCCACAAGGGTGATTTGTGTAGAGACCGTTGCGTCGGGTATGTCTGGGATGTCGCGATCGTGCGAGATAAACTCTAACCACAAATATTCGCCCTAAACCTGATGCGCGGCTTTTTCAGTTAATATTATGTGATTAATGCGTTAACAATTGAATATGAATAACAGTGCTTGCAATAATAACGTAATAGACGCGAATCTAATTATTGTTATTCCTGAAATGGTTTTTTACATGGAATTCCGCCATTCAAAAATGGGGTTATGTTTAACTTATTTGGTATTATCATTGACTTTATTTATAAATTTTATTATGTATAAAGTCAATGGTATTATGTGGCGCGGTTAATTAATTTCTGGTTTGCAGAATAACAAAAAAAAACAATAAGTCAAGATGAAGATCTTCATTTTAATTAGATTTATCAATGTACCTATTGTTTTAGGCATAATGGTATGGTACTATTTGACTCAGCTGTACATGCTCCCGGCTTCCCGGACTTCCGACATTTGTTTCAGATAATCATTTTGGCGATATGATGGGCGTTTGTATTATGATCACAAAGAACGGTCCGTGCAATATTGTTAGGAAAACGAGATTTATAACACTGTGAGTGCAATACCAAATTATACCAGTACGCTGTACGAGTTATGTTTATTTTCTTATGTTGAACTGAATTATCACATCAGTGGTTACACGACATAAGCAATAAAGTTAGTGACAGGAAGAAAGTCTACATTACCTATTATTCACATTCTCACTTAATTGTCTAGCCCACGAGCCTTCAATTTTTCCACCTTTCTTCGGATTCGTAAATACTTCTTGCATAAATTGCGGATTGTAAACGTAACTATTATTAGGCATGGGTTGAAGGGCTGTGTACAAGGCTTGCCGAATTTTCGGATACGCATTGCCAAACGGTTCGACAGTGTGAGGTTTTGCCTTTAAAAGACTACAAGACGAGTAGAGATCATAAAGGTGAGCTAAAATACAACGTTCCGCTGAACTGCAATCACACGGATTAGAAACATGCTTTACAACTCGACATAGTCCTTCGAATACGGCCGAGGTTTGATCGGGCGACACTAAAATGCAGAGTGTGTATCTTCTACTGTACATAAAAATTACTTACATAATAAACAACAGTGGTATCTTCGTAACACACCAACTATATATAAACTTAACGATGTGGTATAACTTTTCATTAAGATTGAGTTTTTTGCTAAAAGTTGGGCCTCAACTTCGGGAAGCTCCTTCAGTATTTGTATGCACACATCAATCAAGCCGTAGATGTTTAAAGCCAACTCCATCAGATCGAACAAGAAGGCCACATGCTCTTGAACGGGTAAGTAATTTGAGTTTCCAGTTGCGAAAGAATTTAGCATTTCGATTACGGTAACACTGCACTGCCACGTTACGACGTGCTGATCGAAGTAACTCAAACTTTGGCACTTCTGAGTGGTGGCCTCAAAATTGAATTCGTTGCGTGAGTGCTTCTTAACTTTGCCTCCTTCGGCAACGTCTATACTGAACTTTTTGGAAAACAATTTGCATATTTCTTTCGACATTTTTTTGACTATGTGACGAGCGTCATCTCGGATTTTACCCACCCCATATAGCAATACGTGACGTTGGTTGCAATCGTGTTGTGAAAAGGGGTCGTCTTGTGGAAGGGGAAAATGTATGGTGTATAATAAATGACGTGACGGTTTTACTTTGTGACCGTTATGATCATTTTCCATTGGCGCTAGTCCCATTAAGCTCGGCATATGCTGTTGATGGCTGTGGTCATGATCTTTCGGACTGTCTGGAATGTCCATTGAATTTTGTTGATCCTCCTTTATGTTTTGCAGGATTTTGTCTAAATCATCGTCTATTTTAGAATCGTCATAATCCATTCCATGGGAATGATCCTACAAACAAAAATTATAATATAATAATAATAATAAATAATTAAATAAAAATAATTATACTTGTATATATTTTGAAGATTTTTAGAAATTCTACTTCTCATACGCCAAAGTAGGACACAAAAAATAAAACTGTTTAATCTAATGATGACCGAGAGACAACGATGAGCTTGGTCTGGCAATAGTGTTATTCAAATTAGAAATAAATTATTGGTACCAACAGAAACAGTGCAGAGAGGTAGAAATAAAATCAGAAAAGAGAACCAACCTTGCAAATAGAGGCTCAAACTACAGACAGGTACATTATACAAATCCATCAAAATATAAAACAAGTAAAAAGGTTTTCGCCCTAAGGCGAGTAACTTCAGGGCATTTTCCATGAATGATCCAGTACTTCCCAAAAGGCCATAGCTATGTGCGCTGTGATTTTCTTTACTAGAGGCATATATGGTTAAAATTTCAAAGAAATATCTCCATAAACAGAAAAGGTGGCGTTGCGCAGTTCGCGCATGAGTTCATTTAATTTATGCTATAGGTATGTGATGTTTGTTTTTACTAGAAGCGTTTATGGTTAAACTTTAAAGAGAGATTTTCATAAGTAAAAAAATTGGCATTTTGCAGTCTACGCATGCGCGGATTTGATTTTTACTATGTGCGATGTTTACCTTTCCTAATGACATTTGTGGTTTTCGATGTTTACCACATGTGATAGTTAAAATTTTAAAGAAATATCTTGATAAACAAAGACGGCACTGACTGCGCATGCGCAATATCTAATTTTTGCAATATCAGTTATGTTTGCCTTTAACAGAAGCATCTATGATTAAAGTTTCAAAAAGATATCTCGATAAATAGCAGCTGATATTGAGCATCCTGCATTAATCTGATGTTTACAATATGCGATACGTTTGCTTGCATTAAAAGCATCTTTGGGTAAAATTTCAAAGAAATACCTCCATAAATAAGAAAGTTGCTATTACGCATGCGCACAAGTGATTTTTACTATAATGCGATATATTTACCTCCACCAGAAGTATCTGTGGTTAAAATTTCAATAAAATATATTAACAAATATGGAAACATTGCACAGTTTAATTGTCAAGATTTTCCTTGGCTCAGGTGCTAGAGCTATACACTACCGAATGCAAAAAGAACAAACTTAATATCTTGAAAACTGTAGGAGTAGTTAAGGCCTCGGACAGACGGGCGGACAGTGAAAGTGGCTGAAAATAGCGCACCCAACTTCGTCGGAAAATGCGCTAAAAATGTAAGCTTCTATTCTAGTCTTCCAGAAACTCCATATACATAGACTCCACATACAAGACCAGGCTTAACACAGCGTTTCTTTGGTAACAAAACAGCCAATTTTATGCGTGTTTACTTTTCATTTCACTTCAATAGTTTTCGTTTTTGGGTAAGCATGCGCGGGTATAGTAATAATAATAATAATTTATTACATTAATTAGCATTAAACGGAAGACAGCAAAGTTCACATTGCAAAGTGGGTGGTCGCTAGTAATTTTTCGAATTTATATTTTTGTAAACATAGGGAAATAGACGCATATACCGCTTCGTACGAAACATGAATATAAGTATGTCTAGCGATAAAACTTACGTTCGAAAATTTTGACTTTTTTCTACACAAAAATGAAAACCTAACAAAATAATTAAATGGTGGTGAAATTGTACAATGTGTTAACAGCAGTGTAAAATCAAGGAAAGCAAGAAATTGTTCAATAAATTGACAAATAACTTCATCAAGTAATTGTTGATGTAAAACTAGCTGTAGAAATGTAGAGTTGAATAAATAATACAGGATGTTTCATAAATATCCGGCAGAAATCCTAGGGCGTGTTTTAAACGCCAAAATAAGACAAAAAGTCCGTATAAACGCTTTCTAGCAAACGTACAGCTCTTATAAGGAGGTGGCCTCACACAACATTTTTGCTAATATGTATCTCCGATTAATTTTGTGTGCACTCGTTACTGGTACCGTTTTCGTTTATTTCCGTCTGGATGGCCAACCAGTGAACGGTACTATGAAGAACAAGCATTGTGAAAGTGGTGCAGAATGATTTGTTGATGCAGAAATCCAACCGAATCACCGAAATACGAATCCTTTGACAAGAATCCGAATTCCAAATTCCCTATCCTGCCTTCGAATCCGTCAAAATGATTCGAATTCAGCTCCGCTCTAGAACACCTAAGCAGCCTGGCTCCAGTTTCTCTGTAGTCAGGAGGGTCCGAAGAATGACATTTAGAAATTATCCCGTGGTTTTCGCTTAATTATTTTAAACAAACTTATTAGCTGACACATCCATTGTTGGTATTTGAGCTAACCTATGCAATGCACTCTTTTGTAAAGAAATATGTCATCTCAGTCTGATTTGAGGAAATAACACTACACTACACTATACTGACCAACTTACTCAATTCTTACCTCCATTTTTGATTGCGTCATGTCAGTGCTTTCTTCATGTCCCAAAAGATCCCCTCTTGAAATCAAAGTGCACATATATGCATCATGTGAGAACACATCTCGACGAATTAGTTCATAAAACAAATGAACCAAGTTTGTGAAGGCGGTTTTTTTCTGAAAAAAAAAAAGAAAATAAAAACGTTAATCAAACACCAAATGTTCATACCAAATTGCAATTTCAAAATAAATAGATTATTTTGAAGAAGGTCCCCAGTGAATAATTTTTCTAATACATTGAAGATTTTTTCATAGCTTTATTACATACCTATTATTCGACTTTTTAACGCTTTTTCTTGCAACTTTAAATTATTCCTTGTAATTAATTGTAACAAAAAATTGCTATTGTAAGCAAAACCATTGAGAGAAAAACAATCCTCAATAGGGGCATCCCGCCTTCATTTTTTATTTCTGATCTACAAAGGGCAATAAAAATAAATTATTAAAAAGCTGTGTTTTTGGTTCGAATTTGAAACGCTTCAGTCGAAATACGTCACAAACCTACAACCAATCACGTAAAAGTGAGCGGGCAACCTTGTGCGAGAGTCTGACGTTTGTCGGATTTGACGTTTTCACAGGCATCTCGCGAAAGTGAACGACAAGTGCCTGTGACAGATGACGCAAGTTACAAATGACATTCTCCTGCAATATTGCCAAGTCGTATGTCATCTGAATGGTTCTAGCAGCTGATTGGTCGGGCTTATTACGTCACAGCGCCCGCCACAATCATCTCGTTTTGATTAAACCCCTAATACCGCACATGTTCATTATTTTTTTCTAGTCACTATTTTTAAATAAACTTTTACTGTCCAAAAAATTGTTTTATGGTTTCAGGTATACGCCTATTAAATTACGGAATTCAACTATACTGTAAACCCCTATTGTACTGAAAAACTTGCTTAAAAACTTATTGAAAGAAATTCGCAGGTTCCTATACATACGGGGTAAAACCATTTGCTATCGCGTTACTTAAGGTAAAATTTAATTAATTTCAAGATAATCGCGTGTTTTTCGCCAATAAGAAAACAACAGGTGTGCAGTTAATGTCGAAGCTGGCGTTAATCAAATTTGGTTCTGATTGGCTATTTGTTTACGAAATTTTAAAGAAAGGTTTTTTTGGGTGAAAAAGTTAGTTGATAGTACGAAGTTAATTAATAAAGTTTGAGAGAAATTTAAAGCATTTAAACCGTATACAGAAAAATTAATAGTTCAAGTGTGTCAACCAAGCAGTTTATTGCACAGCAAGGTACTCCAAGTATGCGCTAAAGTAAGATTTTTCTTTCCATCATTCGAGAAGCCACAAGATTTAATCATCAAAGTCAATAAAGCCAGTTTATGATATCACTATTAAGTGTAATAGAAAAGAAGTGTAGTTTTTGAAGCTGTCAGCGAGTGTTTGTTTAGTTCTTTGCGCCCCAAAAATTGCAGTTAACGACCAAATTATTTAATTATTTAAAAGTAACTAAGATTTCTTAAATTGAGAATCGATCGCTTGCATGCGTGGAATGTGTAAATCTGGATCTAAAGCCTATCTTTCTTTCAGCTTATAGATTTAATTTTTTTATGTCTTACAGAAATAATCTTTGTCTTTGCCAATACAGTAGCTGATGCTAGGTGTAATTCAACATTTGTTTAAATAATTCCTTGGAGTTGATGAATGTGATTAAGGCTGCTAAGATTCCTAAATTAATAAAATTAATAATTATAGGAAAAAATATCTTCCGAACTAACGTTTATTATAAAGAATATTCTTTATAATAAACGTTAGTTCGAAAGATATTTCTTCCTATAATTATAACCCCACCGAACTTTCAAGATGGAGCAATTCATAATAAAATTAAATCTTTATCGAGATTTTTTTCATTGTAGCGAACGCAACTGAAGAGCCTACTGAATTTGGTGTAGATTCAAAATTCGTTTTTGTACAAGTTTAAAAGTTTGTTCCATAATTTCAATAATCAATCAGCCAAAAAACAAGGGTTCATTTTTTCTTTTATACAAAAAATAAAAAATTGGTTAGGTGTGTATGTATACGTATGTATTATTCAAATTTGAGGAATTAGGTTATTTATATTTAAAAAAAGGAAGTGGCCATTTCATTTAAATTACTTTAAAAGGCTATAGCAAAAAATATATGTGTTTGTAAGAAAATTCATGCACAAAAGAAGAAAACTATTTGAAAATTAAATTACTTTCAATACAGTAAAACAAACATAAGACACCAATAATGAGTTTCGGTAATGCAAGAGAATGCTTGAAGAATGACTGATACGCATAGTACTACACACACTGTACCTGTGGAGAGTCGTCAAGAGACGGTATAGGAGCGTCAGTATCCAAAAACTTCATCAGCAAAGATTGAAACATTGGAGGTCCACCAGGCATTGAGCTACTCGAATCTCGATCATCAATGATTGTATCCTGATCTGTAGATGACGATATATCCGACTGTCGACGATCCAACAAAGCCGCGACAGCTAACGCTCGATGTTCACCAGTTCTTTCGGGCGAGACGGCCCATTCACAAAGAAGCTTCACCACTGCACTTTCTTGGTCATTTCCGCTACTGAAAACCTTAAAAGCGGAAAGTGATACGTCTGACAACCCAGATCTTTCTTACTTTATTATAAAGAGTATCTAGTGAATTTGTAGCGTCCATTCGATCGAAACGATGCCGATCCAAAGCATCTAACGCAGCCAAAACGCATGTTGTTGTAACACCTAAAAGAGATCATCATTACGTTCATTTCGTTGCACTTGGAATACCTGTAGAGCAGGCTTGCCATTTTTCGCTGCACCAACGACCTTCAGCACGTTTACTCCTCTCTCGTATGTTATGCTCAGTTTGTTGGAGTTGTTTCCTGTAGACAGCCGCATTGCATCGAGTTGGGGTCGGTAGAGCGGAAGGGAGTATAGGTAATAAATCTAAAGGAGAACCGTACCACACAGAACCAACACCCGCACCACACCATACAATACTGCTAGGGCATTCTAATGTAATTGTTTGTATAATAGTACTAAGCTGCAATACTAAAAAATAATTCGGATTAATAATATAAGGCACTCAAACTGGTAAGTTACCTAAATCCCTGTGGTGTGGGCAATTTTGGTACTCTAATAGCGTGCTTTGAATCGGCGTCACAAGTGCAACATCTTTCTTCTCTTTCTCTCCCTCTTTCGGATCGTTTTTGTTTTGTTCACTTTGCGGAGATGTGATTATGTTGCTTTCCGCGACATTAGTTAGCATATTTCCTAGTTTTTTTGTACACAGATAAGCCATTCGGCGCGATAACAGTTCGGATTGTACAAATTCCTCAAGATACTGTAATGTGAGTGGCAGGTATAATCGTAAGAGTCCATCATCGGACGGATGTGTACGAAATTTTTCTAATAACTCTAATATCCAGTTTAATACTTCTTGCGAGTCCAGTAATCCTGAAAGCAATTTAATGAGTTAATATACAGTGTGTCCAAGATAAGGATGTCTATCGCGGGGATCTCGGAAACCATAGAAAATGATCAAATTAGGGAAAGTTGCGCAATTAAAGAGTAATTATCATGCTCAAAAAGAGAACCAGAATATTCCGATTGCTAACGAAGATATGCCAGAAAAATCGGAATTTTCCAACTTATTTTATGCTGATGTTATTTGAACAGATACAAAAAAAATTTAAAAACCCACTTGTAAACGGACCTTGTGTGTTTAAAATAATTTTATTTGTGTAAGTAATCCTTTTGGAATGTAAGGAATTTGAGCGCCGCCATTATTTTCCTTAGAATTTAGAATTAGAGGTCGAAGTTGTAAAAACCCTAGGAAGTACAAAAGTGACAATGACAGCACAAGATTATGTTGTGTTTTAATACTTCAATTCAATCATATGTCAGTTTGGCATCATTGCGGGTAGCAAGAAGGGTAACGTTATCGCAAAATGACACAAATTAGCAAGAGAGGCATTTAGTCCATAAGACTGCATCTGGAGGTGCGAATGCAGTATAGGTACACAATTGTCGATAATGATAATAGCTTACCTTCCTCATACATGAATTTCAGAAGCTGTGTACAGTATGTCCACTGTTTAATAGCAACTTTTTGATCCGTATCAATGGATGTAACACCTGTAGTGGAATTATTTGCAGTCTTATCAGTTTGAGAATAATACTCCTGTAGTTTAGGTATTTGATCCTTTAAAAATTTAAGTAACGTACTCGTCCACTCTAAAACACACAAATTATACCTGCACAAAACAATTTGCTAATCACCGGTAGTAGGATCAGGCATTTGTCGCTTCTTAATTTTTGCTTCAGACACGGCAACTGTGTACGCAGAACTCAGCTTAATAAACCACGCAGCACGTAACATCGGAACCTGATGTTCACAAAGCATCATAAATATTTCCTCTTTCTTATTAAAATTTGGTGCTTTCTTTGATAAACTCGTTAGTGGTTTACTACCTGCCAAATCTTTAAACCACGCCTCGATGGCATTCTTAGTTCTCATAGTGACCGGCCAGAAGTTATCTTTCGGGTTGATTTGCTGGCGTTTCCTTCCAGAATCGGGAAGTGTACTTAATTCTTCCTTTTTTGCAATGATCGCATTAAAATATGCCCCAATCTAATGAAAGAATTGCACGATTAGGCGACTACCAGGTAAGAAAATTAACTGAAAGTACCTTGCCAGCGGTCACATTACAATTACGTGCAGTGCCGAATTCGTCATTTAAATGTGTCATTGTTGGAAAGCCATGTTTAACGTTTACGCTTGTCAGCTCGTCTTCCTTCTGCTTGGGTTCCTGAGGATAGACATCAGGGGGACCTATCCTCGGTTTTTTTAGAGGGCGTTTCTCATATAATAAATTCGACATCATTGTGAGGGAATGAAAATGAAAGGTCTATGAACTGTGAACTGTTTCCTGTATTTTAAGCATTGTTACTATGTATAGGTTATAATTTAGAACCGTGTTTCACCAACATCTTGCTTATGGTATAATTCTGCTTATTTTTACATATTAAAGAATGATTAAACATAAAAAAACCTCATTTGCTTATGGAGAAATAACATAACCGAATTCTTTGCATTTATTGACATTTAACAGCTGTACCGCGACACAGCCATTCGTCAACGGTAGTGGCCATTTAACCCCTTAACAGTGTTGCCATAAACAAACTACCTCAATTACAGGGTGTTCCAACGATGGCAACTCGTTGTGAGCGCTTTATTAATTTAATCATTTATAATTATTTCACAGATGTTGAGTATTGTGTCGCTCTAATGAGGAATGAAGCTCAAACTTGTCATGTACTGTTTGAATAACGACCCAACGAAAAATGGAACGCATTCACATTCAGGTTGGGTGACGAAGATAACGAGTTAGTTATCATTTTTCTATCGTGATTGCATTTTTACTTTTAAGTCCAAAGATATATGCATAAATCACTTTACGTTTGTTAGTAGGGTCTTCCTGAAAAAAAATATTGTAACTTTTTTGTGTCTTACTGTAAAGTTTATAACCTGTAATTAAACATCTCATATACAAAACTTTTTTTTCTAATTGCAACATGTCAGGAAACAACATACAATATCGTAAAACTTTCAAATTTTGTCATGCAACCGACGACATGCCGATATTGGCCGAGCGTCGCATACGTCACTACGCGGGTTGCCGATCGGGAGTTATATTAGTGCATGACACTGATAGGAGTTCGATTCGACTTATTATGGCAATCTGCCATAAACCGAGTTCTGACTGGTTCGTAAAGGGGCAGTTAGATAGTCTGCCAAAGGTTGTGTTAATGGTCGCCGCCTTTTTCTCGAAAAGTGAGTTTTTCCATGCCACTCGGTTGAGTGGAGTCAAAGCCCACAAGCAAATCTGTTATGGTTCATAGGAAGTATAACATCAAGTTATGTGTGTATAGTGCAAGGTATAGTGTAGGTACCTAATACAGTATGCACCTTACGGATTTCAACGAGAAAATTAGGGTGTTGGATATGTGGAAGTGAAAATAGAGAAAAATGTGTGCGCTGTAAGGGCACAGATATGCCCAGAACAGAGTTCGAAGTAAATCATATTCTGAATTACAATTACAATATTATATCTATGGATTTTCGTCGATAACTGACTGAAAGTAAATCGACATTATGCACTTTAATTAATTAGAATCGTCTTCACAACAATACAAATGGGATGTCAAATTCGCGGTATCACGTCGAACTTTTTTCGTATATTTCCTGTTGGGACGTTTATATACAATTTATTAGGTTCGCGATGACTTCTGTCTGCTATCACGCTCAGGTACAAATGCAATAATTATTCGACGCTTTCCGTCAAAACGACGTTTTCTTTCTCTGAATCGATTGTAAGCAATGCTACGGCTGAGCGCCAACGCGCGTAGTGACGTCACTGCAATGTGGCGGTCATTCGAAACTTTTCAAACGCCGTTCATTTTAAAATCGTGTTTGTTAATCACAACGATTTCTCTTGACAAAAAAATGAGTACCACTAATATTTTTAAATATTTTTAATGTGCTCGGAGTTCATTTTCAAGGTTTTTGAAAAAACGCGGAAAACCCCGTTCTCCGAGGTCTTGTAATTTGTTTCGTTTGGTATTTTAATGTATTATTAGTTCCCCTATTTTTGATTTTTGTTTGTTACATTCGTTCTACTGATGTTTGAGGTGCATTTTTCCTACAATAAACGACATAGCATAGAAGGAAGCATTACTTGTGTTTTGGGGTTTGAAAATATCATACTCCAAATGGAATAACTAAAAAACAATATGCAATAAATAAATAAAGCGTTAACAAACGCCAACTGCAATTCTACAGGGTGTTACGGAATTCGTACCCACGGACAATGTGAGCTTAATTCTGAGACGAAACTAAAGTTAATCTTTCACCTGTATTTATTATTTTAACTGGGAACATAGTACTACTCTTTGATAGTACCTTATTCTAAATTAATTTCAAATGATGTAAGTAATCTGTGGTAATAAGATACATCCATAATCCGTTTAAATACAAAATCTTAAAAATCAATGAGATGCAAACCAGAAAGTACATTTCATCTACAAGTGTGCAAAACTGGTGCTCTAACTCCAAGTGTTATGCATAAGGTTGGATAGTACGCAGGTTCCGTTGCACCCGAAAACGCTTGATTTCGTTCCACGATATCTGAATTCTGAGTGAAGATGCAGTAGAGGTCGAATATTCCTGTAAATGCTTTAGCTAGACAGTTACACGGAGGTTTATTAAAATGTTTGAAAACATTTTTTTAAAACGTCGGAGGCTGTTAGAGTGCTATATTTTGAAATCGAAAAAAGGAAACAAAAATTCCTGCCATTATTGCCTATATATTAACATTACGAACATACAGCTATTTAGGAAATTGTTCCATCATTTGTAGGTAAGTTGTCTTGGAAAATCGACAGCGAAAATTAATTGCCGATTATAGGCAGCTCACAATACATCGTCATCCGGTCATCCGTCTACCTACATCTGTCTTTATCATTCATAACCGACAACCTCAAAGGCATCAGTAATAGGGAAGTAACTTTATACTTAGATATCAAAGCTTCCGTCGCGCCGCTTGTTTTATACAGGTGGAAAATGTGCAATATAAAAGACAACTTTACATACTTCGTTCTGAAATAAAAATCATGTAGTGTCTATCCTTACATTGAATCCGTAATTCTTTCCCTAATTAATGGCCTCATTATCACTATTATACAGTGTGAGCAACAATGATTGAAGCGTGCGTCATCACCGCTTGTTCCTATTAATATCAAAACTACCTTCTTTGTATGGAGTTGTATACGAAAATGACGTTCTGCGCTGTCACAGTGACGTGCGTCTATTCGTATTTCGTATCTTGTATCAAATCAGCATATGCTATGAGCGGCACATTGCCAATTTAGCTGAAGCGGCACGCTTCAATCTTTGTTGCTCACTCTGTAGTTTCCATGCTAAACAACGGACTTACCCTGTATATACGTCATATGGTTTCTTTACAAGTTCCAACTTTATGAGAATTGTCAACGTCGCATTTCCTATTTCTGAGAAAAATGTCAAAATAACAATTTTGTAATCGTAACTTTTTCATTGATTGAAAAGGTAATCGTTTATTTTTAACTCTTAGTTTTAAAGTTATTGATATATTGATAAGCATTTGAGAAATGTCTGCAACTACTGAACTCTCATACCCCGACATCGACGAGAATTATATATCGGATGTCAACTTTAAAGTGGATATAGGCCAGCGCATGAAAGTCCCAAATAAAATAAGTTTTAATCCCGATGCTCCTACAAACGGCGTAACAACAAATCCCTGGGGTTCCGAACTCGAAGTTCTTAATATGCAAGTGCCAGACCGCATATTAGTAGTGGGCCAAGATCAACACATTGGTACGTCATACAACTGCAGGCAGTCAGATTTATGAGTCATTTTATTTGCAGGTACGCGAGCCCCTCCTCGAGAAATCGTATATGATAACTCCATACTTCCTAAGGATCCGTATCCCGGCGATGTAAGAGTGGGAACTCCTCCTAGAATGTTAACTTTAGATAAGTACCAATTTCCTGGAGTAAATGATACTGAGCCAAAGGCAGCGGAAATACCAAATAAGCATGTTAAAAGTAAGACGCAAGTTCTCTCTGAATTGCGTGGCGAAGAGTTAGTTCCCCATCGGGAATCGACTCCTCCATTAAACATTAGCTTGGATCCTATGTCGACAACTGACGAAATATTGCATCTCCGTCGACAAATGGCCAAGTTGAACAGACGAGTTATGGCATTAGAATTAGAAAATTTGAGCCGATTGCAAAAGGAAAAGATTTTTTACGGAATCGGTATTGCATATTTCCTGTTAAAAACGTTGATATGGTTAAACAGATCGTATTAATAGATGTTCTCATTATAAATTTTGACTGACTTGTGAGTAGTGAACTTGTTGACACAGTTTCGCATTTTGTTGTCAGCATTCCACGTTAGATATAGTAAATAAGTTAATTGCGTTTATTTTGTATCGCTTCTTTAGTTATTGCATAATTGTTTTTATATCTACAAGGTACAATTAACAAGAGTATTCCTAAATTATAAAAACTGCGAAATACGTAAAACTCATTGTGTTGGGATTGTTACAATAAAAACTATTGAAATTTGTACTAAGTGTTTATAGCAGGGTATGGGTCCTATAATATGAATTCTCCTGTGTCAAATTAAGCAGCAAATACCAATCTTTTATTCTATAATGCTGATCGTTGCTTGATGAGACAAAATCTCAGTCTCGGTTGACTTAGAGCCAGTGGCGGATTTACATATAGTCACACTAGGCACGTGCATAGGGGCGGCATTTTTTGCATTATATTTATGTTAGGTAACATTTTGAGTTTTAAAGTAAGTCCCTTAACAAGTTGCAAATGACAAAAATCTTTAATTAAAATTATGAAATAAATTGGAATTGGTAGATAGTTTAAACAAACTGTAACTGTAAGAAAGATAATCGATAATGCAAGTTTTGACGTTTGTAAAAATTAGGTATACTGTATTTCTTTTCATATTAGTTTTAAAAATTCAACTTATAATTTGATTTTTATTAGCATTTTAAAATTTAAAGATTATTTTGTGGCGCATATCTTTCGGTGTGCCTAGGGGAGCAAAAAATTTAAATCCGCCACTGCTTAGAGCGTGCCGCAAATGGAGGGGATCACGAACTTAAGTTCGTGGAGGGGATACACTTATTTTTACTTGATACGATCACCAGAAGAGGCGCGCAATGACCTAATATACAGTGAGTTTTTTTTTAATCCGAACTTACGATTTTGTATATGCAATATATTTTCCCTATGTTCGTTTAAAAAAATCGCATCAGTCTATTAGGTGTACATTCGTACCAGAAAAACGCGCAACTTGCGTGACTATGAACAGCAACGGTTTCTCGTTTCTAGTCTTGATGATGAATAAAGAAGCCATGTGAGGCCGTGGTATAGCAACTTATGGATAATTTTTTTTTCTTAAACTTACAATAACTTAACCTCACAGGGCACACGCCTTAGACCTTAGAGAAGGAGAGAGTGAGGAGTGATAATAATGATCGTAAAGTGAAGCCCACATTTGTTTGTTATTTCACCGAAAAGTAACCTATTATACCTGTAAAACGATATACTTTCGTGTGTTTTTTGGCTATCACTTTCGTGCACTACAATGTACCATTATCCAAGAATGATTTAATCGCACACTTCGATACTTAAGGATCGCATAAACACGAAAATGAAAAATTAAACAAACTTTGGCTCCGAAAATATGGCCGCCCCAGGCTTCAACGCGCAGCATTGCCCTTGATAAGATATTATCAGTCCCCTTTCTTTCATATAGCGTTTTCGATTGGCAAAACTCGTGCTGCACGAGTGCAATTTTTACGTTCTATTGGTAATTTTAGGGCAATTTTCTGTGTTCCATTGGCAAATGTGATGCAACAATTACGCACTAAATGCAAATTTTGACGCACGAGGTCGGAGAGCTCGTGGAGCAAATTTTCAAAATAAAAGTGCGCCAATTTGAATTTGTTTCTTGCGTTGGAGAGTTTTTTGTTGTCATCTAGCGATAGAGATGATGAACTAGCCATATAACTTCTACTTTAGGTACAAAAAGTTGCATTTACTCTTTAAAGTGAACGCCAAAAATTGGTTCTTTACAGGAATTTCAAATTTATATTCCTCATTGTTTATCATAAATAATAGTGAAATCGTTTCAGTCATTTTTTAGAATACAGATTTGTCGATTACCTAAATCATTGTATAAATACAAATCTAAAATGAGGTTATGGACAAATGACAGCAAATATTTACGAATATTTATGTTCCATTGAGAGCAATTTTCACATGGATTTCTTCAGTTTCTCGTGCAACACTCGTGCAGTACGAGTTTTGCCAATCGAAAACGCTAATAGTCTAAGCCAGTAGCGTACGCAGGATTTTTTTTCGGGAGGGGCTGAAACTCGAGAATTAAGACCAAAGTATGTAAATTTTCACGTATGTCGTACACATTCGCAAGATCAAGTAAGTGAAGGAAAAAGTAAGGTAGTTTTTCCAGCAACTGCAACATTTTTATTGTCGCTTGGCATTTAAATAATTATACCATGACTGACGACTTACGGGATGTGCCGCTGAGTAGTTAAGTCGATTATTTCGGAGGGGGCTGTAGCCCCTTCAGCCCCCCCTTTGCGTACGCCGGTGGTCTAAGCCTTAGCTTCTCTATAAGCATTGTATAATATACTATAAGGCACACGCTGATCTCACAATTAATTGTGAACCAACCTTCAATTATTTGTAGGTTATGTGCATCTGGTATTTTACTAATTTGATCTATTCAATACATACAGGGTGATTCCTATAGTACCTGCCACCGTTTGGGAGCGTGTAGGTGGTGCGTAGGGGAGTATTTTGATATAGGACACTTGGGGTCGGAAATCTAAAATAAGGGTGCCAGAGCCAAATTTACCTTCTGGAATTTCGCGCCTGTAGTTAGGCAACCCAACCGGCCGGCGGTGCACACGGAGCGATCTCAGGCGGCGATGTGTGGCTGACACTTGATCAGAATTTTGTTTAAACCCACGAAATCCCGTCTGCAACGACGCGTATCAAGTGAATAACCACTATGGCAATAGTATAATAATAGTTGGCTAGATGTAGGAAGTGCATTGAGAACAACGGTGGCCACGTTGAACACTTGTAACCGTTATTGCTTTTGACTGTCGTTTTCCCTCCTTCCCTCCCATGTCGCTTCCTCGCGCTAACTCGCTCTGCATCGCTCCGCGCGAAACGTCGGTCGGTTGGGTTGCCTACATACAGGCGTGAAATTCCAGAAGATAAATTTGGTTCTGGCGCCCTTATTTTAGATTTCCGACCCCAAGTGTCCTATATCAAAATACTCCCCTAGGCACCCCCTATACGCTCCCAAACGGTGGCAGGTACTATAGGAATCACCCTGTATATTGCAAATAAGTCTCGAACTCTCCTAAAACTGTTCTCACTTTTGTACCAATTGACAATTTGGACCTTCATCTCTAAAGTAAGCATTTTGCTTAAATTTTTAAAAATGTAACAGCTATCAATTTTATCTACTACTCATTTGAATTACTCAATAGATTCAAATAGATTGATGCGTGTTTTTTAAAATCTAATATACTATGCCGTCAAAAATGAGTGGCTGTTGAGTCACCTTTGGAATTTTTGTTTACACGGGAAAACGTACTTAACCTGAAGGCGACTCAACAGCAACTCATTTTTGATCGCCCGTTATAGGAAAATTACATTGCATACAAAATTCTATGTTCGCATTATCACTAATCAAATGCTCACGCTACTTCTAGTTGTCATTGATAGATGTCTCTAGAGTCTAGTTACATTCAAGAAAATTCTTCTGTAGGAACCTCACACGTTAACTCAAAATTGCCACTCAAAACCCTATGTTATATTATATGCTCAAAATTCTTAAGCCCGTTTGTAACGATCACTTATTTAGTCAATTTTTAAATAATTTTTTTAGGAACAAAAAAATTGAACATTTCATACATCAACTTTGATCAATTTTTTGGAAGTTATTTTAGGAACTGAAAATTGTCCTATTTTTGTAATGTTTAGAACCTGTCCTATTTTCCCTCAATTTTTTAGAACTTTTGACAGATTATAGGGAATTTGTAAAATTAAAATTAAATTTATATTCATTTTTAAAGCTCACTATAATACGTTGACAGTAGATAGAGACCTTAGTTTACAGAAGATAAATATTTAGTCTCCAGATTTAATATAACATATGTACAAATATTTACATTTTACTGGTACTAAAAAATTGACAATATTATGGAATGTTACATACAGTTTCATCATTTATGACATTTTTAGGATAGCATTATCTTTATTGAAGAAAAAAAGGACTAAAAATTTGACTAAATAAGTGAGCGTTACAAACGGGCTTTACTGATAGGAGCATTGAGTAATAAATCCTTCACTCAACGATAGGGGGGCATCCGGTCCGATCATATCCGATCACTTAGTGAGAACTAACTGCTGCATTTGACATTTACTTTTCAGTTTCTTCTTCTTACTGTCCTCATTATATAAGGCAAGTGCCATGGTAAAAACATCATCATTGTCACTTGAAGAACACATCGAAATGCCTTCTACGGACTGGCGTGGAGTAGGTAGAACAGAGGTGCCAGTGTTAGTAACATTTCGTTGCCATGTGGCGTTGCTAGAGCGGGAATTGACAGGAAAATATGGCGTCCCAAGTGTTCCATCGCACGATTTACAATCTCCCACCATCGATACGACTTTTTTGCGCATTTTTTTTAAGAATAAAAAAAAATGTGCTATTGTTTGCGTGTTGTCTGTCCGTCCGTCCGGACTCGCTTCTGCCGTTTCGATCTACTTCTAGGGGATGGCCCTAGAATCCTGGAATTTTTTGCAGTAGGTATCCTATACCTTGAAGGTGTGCCAAATGGCCATCAAATTTCGGTGTCTAAATTTATTTCCTGAGATGCTGTTTTTGAAAGAAAAATGTGCATAACTTTTACATACGACAACCAATTGGTCTCAGATTTTGCATACGAATAGTGGTGCCAAGTTATACTCATGGTCATGGTATTCTAATGAAAAGTCTCACGAAAAGTGGTGCCAAGTTAAACTTTATAAAATGGAGGGGGGGGGGGGTTAACACATGTTCTACCCTTCATGGTATTCTAATGAAAAGTCTCATCGAAATAAATTGGTTTGTACAAACTATAACCTTCCCGTACGACTCTTTTTCGAGATCAGTGTGCGACGGGGCCTGGGGGAGGGGGGGGTTAAAAGATTAATTTTATCTCTCATTGTATTCTAATTATAGGTTTCAACGAAAGGAACCGTTTTCTACTACTGTCCTTCTTTCTGTCCTCTTATCAAAGTACGGGGCGAAGGGCGAGGGTGGGGGAGAGTGTAACTAGTTTTATGGTTCTCTAATGAAAGGTCTCAACGAAAGGAATTAATTTCTACCAACCATAGCCCTCCTCATCGACCTCTTATCGTGATCGGCCACTGCACCATCCTCCCCCAGACTGAGTAACGGTTTTTTTTTAAAAATCGTTGGTAGGTATACAGCACTAAGACTAAACAACGTGTTCCTAGAC